TTAAAAAATTAAGTTCACAAATGTTTAAACGTGCACCAAGGTCAACTTGAAGCTGTGAACACTGGAGAGTAGAGTAGAGTTGAACTACAGTGAGAACCAGAAAACTCTAATACAAAAAGACGACTTTATACTCAAGTTCGACTTTAAATAGTTCAATGGACATAGAAACAGCATATTCTGGAAAAGTTTTTTTTTTGGAAAAACCGGGTTAACATTAAATTTCATTCGAATGTTGCATGAAAATAATTTGCTAATAATAAAAGTTGTGCAATGCATTTCTTTATGTTATATGCTTTCCAAAAAGCTAAACATTATCAAAATCTGACGACTGAAAGTGGGTCAAAACAAGGATTTAGTTTGTTCCAGGAAAAAGTAGTCATTCCGGCAGTGTGCCTGAAGACTCAGACAGTGAGTATAAAAGCCCGGTTTTAGACCTAGAGGGAGGGCTATGGGTATTTAGGGAAAGTTCGAAAATTTTAATAGCCTCAGACCAGGGGAGGATAAAACGAAACCCCCTCCCAGGAGGAATAGGATTAAAACTGAAAAATGCTGATAAAGATAAAAGCTCATACAAGGAAAATTGAAGCAAAATAAATCAATATTTTTATACTTTTTTAAATTGTTTATGAGTGCAAACAAAGAAAGTGAGATAAGCCAAGTAATAAATTTGAAAGTCTTAATCCCACATTAACTTGCATAATGAATTTAAAGATTTTGCAAAATTGTAAATGACGTCTATATCAAATATTATTTTAGTTGACATTGCCTTCGCTAGTGGTATCATGGGAGGGGGTTTATTAAATACAAAAGTTCCATATTCTAATTTTATGCTTGTAATATTAGTGAAATTAGTACTTAAAGTTACAATTATAATACATACAGAGTTCGAATTTAATGAATTTGAACTGCGTCTCAAATCCGCCAAAGACCGGATTCAATGAGTGCCGGCTTCAATCTTGAAACATTAAATACAATTTTAATGGGAACCAACTATATTTGAGCTGCGTTTCAAATTCAAGCCGCGGCCCAAATTCTTTAAATTCGGCATCAGACTGTGGTTTGTTGTTTTTAGTTTTTTTTTCAATTTTATTTTTTTGGCTTCAGACATTTATCATTTTTGAAAATCCACCAATTTGCACAAAAAATATCCGCAAACATGATTGTTTCATTTCATGAATATTTCTAGCAAAATATTTTTAATTTTTAAATGCTTGCAATTCTTATATATTTTTTTCTGACTAGGGTTTCCAGCGAACCAAAAAATTCTTTCGGATTTTGCAAAACTTTTCGCGAAAATGAGTTTTGCGAAAGGAAGCATTAATCTGTTCAGCGAAATAGTTGTTTTGCGAGACAGATTGACGCGAAAAAAAGAGAAAATTTTTGCTTGTTTCTTTAACGAACGAAATGCGAAAAATGATTGATTCTGATTCGATCAATGAGAACCTGTTTAGCAAGCTTTCTCTCTGTAGCAGACAGAATGACGTCAGATCAGCTGTGACAAGGAGATATAAATTCGAAAATTCAAACTTTATGTAGATAAATTATTTTCATTGTATGTTTATTTTATATATTCAATAAAATTTGACACCACAAATAATTCCCGAGATTTATAAATATAAAAGATTTTACGAAATATACGATCATCAGCTGCTGAAGACTCGAAACCCCAAGATGGTTGGTTTTTAGTAAACTCAAGGCCATCCAAAACCCGGGTCTTGACTTGAGCTTTACTTGGGTCTAAGCAGACGCAAAGGCCGGGTTTTACTCGGGTTTAAGCTTTAAAATCTCATCTCTGGACTTCTTTCTTCACCTGCCCAAAATTCGGCTCGGTACTTCAATATAAACACACTTACTAGTTGCAGGGTGATCATGATGTTTGTAAACATAAAGACAACCATCAACAAGAACAAGATTTCTCAGCTGCCATTGACCAGAGACAAGAGTATGCATAGATCCTCGACAGTCAGGACTTACGTGATCTGATAGTTTTATTACAGTTAAATTAATTGCTATAATGGGACTCATAAAAATGTGAAATATAAAGAAGATATTTAAAGAATATGACTTGTAGATTATAATATTATGATTATAAACTTCGTTTTTTGTTACCAGTGGATTTAGCATCCACTTAATAAGTAAAATGTACATTTCATAATTCTATATTCCATGTTTATTTGAATACTTTATAATATTCAGGCTAACAGCGTCTTCCTCTATACGTCTCACTGAATTTTAACATTTTGAAATATAATTTTTAGCTTCAACAGATAATGCTTTTCCCATTCTGAGATTTCTAATTCAAATAATTTCCTAACTTTCAATTAATTTCAAAATTAATCAATTTATAAATGCAAATTCAGTTACTAAAAGTTTCAAAAATAAATACGAAAAAAACATCTGTAACATTCCTCTGTAATTCAGTTCTGCTCTTGTTCTTGCAATCTCCAACCAAACATCAGTCTGTCGTTTTCTAAAGAAAATGACGAATTTTAGACAAAATGTCGTTTCTAAAGAAAATGGTGAATTTTAGGCAACATGTCGTCATCAAAACAAAATTGTGAATTTAACAAAAAATTTCGTCTTCTAAACAAAATGAAGAATTTTACAAAAAATGTCGTCTTCTGAGACAAAATGGTGAATTCTAACAAACTGTCGTGTGCTAAACAAAATAGTGAATTTTGGACAAAATGCAGTATTCTGATCAAGATAGGGAATTGACAACATTAGACAGCATTAACTCTGTTATCTTTATAAAACTTCAAAGGGTTTTTTATTTACGTTATATTTAGATATTGTGACATGATTAATAAATTCATGTTTGGCAAATCTTTGCATAAATTTGCATTTTTAAATTTAGTAAATCCAGAACATTACTTTTAAAGATAAGTTTAAAACGTTCTTGTGATATATGATTCAGGCTTATTTAAAGTTTTTTTTTCAACTGCAAAATTAATTTAGCTCTTTTTACCTTGAGCTAATTGCTCCAAGCAGTTTATTTCTCCACTCATCTCCTTCTAATTCAGTTTGTGCACCTATCTCCACACTACCTCCATCTGATCTTACAACCTATTCATTTACAATTGTCGTCGTATGTTTCAATATCATGAAGACGACTTTCGATTTCAATTTTTGGTTTATACAGCATGGGTATTGAATACATATAGACGCTTTCAATTAGCAGCTTATTTTTATATATATGTGCCTGCACTGTATTGATATAAAGGACGACCAATGAATATAAATTAAGGTCTAACTACATGATAAAATAAGAATTGAAATAGGAAGACGACGTTTATACTTTGAATAGTCCAATGAACATGTGACACAGCAATTGCACTGTAAACAGACCCATGTGTACATCACGATCTGTTTACGAATCTAACACTGTACACTTGTATATAGAGGGATAGTATTTCTTGAAAGTGGATAAATGTAGATAATTGAAAAATTACATAGATAGTTAGATAGACACTTAGCTAATGGATTTAAAACCTACACTTCCCACTTCCCCCTTTTTTTAGATGTATTGTCCGGTAGATTCCTCCTCAAAAATATTCCTGATGTCTATAGTTGACTGGTTTTTTTTTCTTCTGCATGTTAAACTTATGATTATACAAACATGGTAGATAGAAAGATAGATAGAAGTGTATTGCTAAAATACATGAATCTGTGGTTAAAATCAAAAATTGATTGACTTTTTAAAAATTTATAATTGTGTTAAAATTTAAGTTCAATTTAAAGCACTTATTCCAAAAAGTAAAAATCATCTTACTGTCCTGCACTGTACTGTACTGAACTGTACTGTACTGTACTGTAGTGTAGTGTAGTGTAGTGTACTGTACTGTATCTATAATTTTTGTTATTTGACTTATTTTAGCTGTCATGGCGTCTATAGCAATAGCACATACAGCCTACAGGGTGTCCCACGAAACATGATTGTTGTTGAATAGTTTGAAATGTCTTCTTCCATATACTGTATTAGATATTAAAAACTTTTTGCAGTTTATTTCGGTAAGAAAATATTTAACTCAAATCTATATAAAAATTTGGCTTGTCTGTCTGTTTGTTTGTTTGTTTGTATCCAATAAACGTCAAAACGGCTAAACAGATCGGGCCCAATTTTTTTGTGGGACATCACGTGACCACAGGGAAGGTTTATGAATGATAAAAACTTTTTAAAAATGTGTTTTAAAGGTTTTTAATTTTGTAAAAAAATTTAAAATTCTTGAAAATCCGCGATTTTTTTTTTATAAATCCGCAAAATTTTTGTCTTCTTTGTTTTAAAATGTAAACAAAAAGAACATGTTCACAATTAAAATAGAAGATGGGCGCGAAGCGTCCTAAAAGCCTATAAGTATATTATACTTTAAAATCAATTTTGCTAAAATATGACTTAGGGCTGGCATATCATTTTTTTTATTATTCTCTTTGGTATCAAACAACTAAACAAATGAATGAAGAAGACAAATAAGATAAAATAAAAGGGAGTATAGACTAAAGCCTAGAAATTTGAGGCGTTGATTGCGACTAATATTAAATTCTAAATTAAGCTTGAATTACAGCGAATATCTGACATTTGAAAAGACAATTTTTTTGTCTGGACAAACCCAAACAATTAATTGAAAAGGGGGGGGGGTATTTTGGATCTTTTTTTCATAAAAGGGACTATGAGTGTAATTTCTCGTAACCCTTCATGCAAAGATGGCGCTGTCCGATTCACAACGGAACCCTTGATTGAAACCTTTATCCGATTGAAAATGTAGAAGATATAATAGTTTTTCCGACTCGAAAAGTGTTCATTTCTGAAAGTTTCTCGGTTGCTTCTCATAAGCAAGAAATGCGCAAGTCACTTTCGCAGAGATCCCCGCAAATCAAAATAAACCATGTATAAAGAAGCAAAAGCAGTGATATATAATTCATGCTTGATCAGACAAAGCTTTTAAGGGAACCGTTGTTAATTAGGCATACCCATCTTTGCATGAACGGTCGCTTGAAGTTACGCTTAAAGTCCCTTTACCCTTTTATTTGGTTGGCATCACCTGTTCGGATTTAAATGAATATAGACAGTTATCTGCTCGGAGAACAAACCACCTAGGCAATTCATATTTGAAATTATATTCTTCATTTTTAGAAATTAGGATGTTTGCTAAAGATGTATCCTTATTTTCTTCAAGTTATGAAGAAATATGAAGAAGTTAAGAACTAAAATATGAAAAAGGCATTTTAATAACACTGCTCTAAAATTATTATAATTTGTAAGCCCCATAAAAACTTTTTATTAAAATGTAATGTAAATGTATATGTAAATGTAAATATATCTTTATACAGGATTTAAAGTACCGAAAAACAACATATTACAAAAATAAAATTAAATATGGAGGATCAATTATACAGAGCGTCCCATATCATATTGGATTATCTCCATGTTTTCACGCCAAAATACTCATATAATACTCGAAAAATCTAGCATTTACTGCATACAAATTCTTTTTGTATAGATGTTCTGATTAGTACCGAAACTCGCAATTTAATTATAGCATTAAACGATCTTATATATGATGTATATTAGCTTATATCCAGACTAAGTTCTCACAAACTGTTCCTTTAAGACACAAAACTTCCTGTTCACCTTTTCGTCCATTGTTGGCCAGGAACTAAAGATCTCTTCTTTTTAAACAAGTATCCTGCATGAATCACCTTAACAATAACAATATAGAATAAACCATAGATAAATAAAAAACATAGATAGCTTGTGTACGCAAAATCACCAAGAATTGTACAGTCCGCGAACTCATACTTCTAGGGGTCAAGGTGTACTTCAATGATAAGCGGGGTGGTTTGGTGTTTTAATGGATTTCATAATAGAGTGTAAAATAACTCCGGGAATGGAACTATTTGAATCATAATAATTCACTGGGCAATATATCATATTGACGAGAACTGAAGAAGGACTTAACTAACTTAAATTTCTCTCTACAGAACTCATGTACACCACAAGTACTTAATGACATAAATGTTCACAACCGGCCTAGTTAATCTATATAATAGGAATATCTTTAAAACATGATTCGTGTAAAGATGACACTGCACGATTCACAACGGTTCCCTTGAAACATTTATCTGGTCAAAAATGTTAAAAATATTGTCTTCTTTGCTAGGTTTAATACTGTTTAATTATTATAACTTCTATATGTTTCCCTGCATTAGAAATGCGCAAGTCTAAAGATTGATTTCTAATTCACACTTGGCCAAACAAGGCTTTTACTCTTGTGAATCGGACATTTGCATGGATCTGTTCCTTGAAATTACGCTTACAGTACCTTTCAACTAAATATTGTGACCTGGATTTAATGAAAGAGCAAAATATAAAAAATGTGACTAACCTGTTGGTTGATCTTCAGTTCAGTCCAGATATTTGATCCTTCAATCTCTTCATCTTCAGTCTCAGTGCTGGCTAGTCCAAGCTCAAGAGCTCCTTTACCTACATCACAGTTCACGTAGAATAGTACGGAATGCGTGGAATTGCGCTCAATTACGAGAAAATTACAGGACTCGCATTTGCGCGCAAGTAAAATCCACTTGCGTTGAAAACCCTACAGTTCAGTGTTAAATTTAAGCCAGACCATTTCAATTGTCAATAATCGGGCATTTAAAGACCTATGTGTGTCTTGTGTTAAAGAATTTAGCCTATATGATGAACAGTAATCAGACCTATGTGTGTCTTGTGCTAAAGAATTTAGCCTATATGATGAAAAGTAATCAGACCTATGTGTGTCTTGTGTTAAAGAATTTAGCCTATATGATGAACAGTAATCAGACCTATGTGTGTCTTGTGTTAAAGAATTTAGCCTATATGATGAACAGTAATCAGACCTATGTGTGTCTTGTGTTAAAGAATTTAGCCTATATGATGAACAGTAATCAGAGCAATTGTGCACACAGTAAATTTGATTTAATAAATTGTGCCTAGCTATTGGCAAAACTGCTTTATCTTTATATAAAGTAATAATCTTTGTTTGTTTGTCTTAGTGTTGTTTGTATGTCCGATGATAACTCAGGCACCCCTTGGGCCTAGACCGATTTGTCTCAAATTCTTATTAAGTATTGTTTAGTAGTCGTTTTCCTATTCCACAGATTATGATCCCCCGGTAGTATTTGCTCTCAACTGAGCTTTACACGTGTTTTTTTCATGAAATTTCGACTTCTCTTAAAAAATGTTTATTGTTGAACTTTTAAAGATGCCTTAGTAAATTCAATGCTTCCAAAATTCATGAGCTTAATATTTTATTTGAGGTAAAAGATGCGCATGTTCTATTGGTAGAAACAATTTTAAAGCTCTGAGATAATGTGACTGCAGTAGACGTAATTTAACAGTGGCTCTCTTCTTCCAACTTCCTTCCTTGTCTTTGCTCCTTAAATCCGGAAGTACTTAAAGAGAACCCAAAATTGACAGTTTTCCGTTTTCAGACCGAGAAGAATCTCTATTAGTATTGCACTGACATCGTTTTGAAAAGTATTGTTGTGAATCGATCTACATCTTTATAAATGGAGGGTCACTTAAAATTACCTCAACAGTCCCTTTCAGAAGAATTCAGATTCTGGTTTGTTTTCATATTTTGCAATGCATACATAAATTCCATATATTCAGCAGAAATAAAAATTATGATTTTCTTGAAAGAGCAGAATATTTAAAGAAAAGTAATATGTTGTACTTTTTGGAATAAATCTGACAATGGTAAACGCAAAACAAAATTTAATTAATCTTGAAGCTAAAAACATTTCAAATCTTTCATAGTTTGCTTGTTTAGTAATCTCTGTGTGTTTATTTGTATGTCCGATTATAATTGAGGACCCCCTGGACCGAATTGCCTCAAATTTTTATTGGGGAAACTTTGTATAGTGTAGAACCACGAAAATGTTGTTAGCTAGGTTTAACAGTTTTTAGTTTAATAGATTAGTTTCAAGGTAAAGCTGGGTTCTCAAGCTAGTTTTTATTATTATTAATAAAAAACTTACATTGTTGAGCAACATTGACCACATCTGTATGTGGTAGATCAAGTACATTAAGCCCATTAACTGTTAGAAGTATATCTCCTACACACAACCCAGACAAGGCAGCAGGAGTGTCAGGTTCTAAACAATGGGAATACTGTATTTTTTTAAATACAAATTAATGACCATTAATGACCATGACTATGATTATGACTATGATCATGACTATGATCATGACTATGATCATGACTATGACCATGACTATGATCATGCTTATGATCATGACTATGATCATGACTATGACCATGACTATGACCATGACTATGACCATGACTATGACCATGACTATGACCATGACTATGATCATGACTATGACCATGACTATGACCATTACTATGACCATGACTATGACCATAACTATGACCATGACTATGACCATGACTATGACCGTGACTATGACCATGACTATGACCATGACTATGATCATGACTATGACCTGAATGTTAACCCTCCTCCTACCTATAGCTGATACAACAACAGGTTTTGATCCATGAATTCTAAATCCAAATTCTCCTCCCTGCTTTTGCACAACAACCGTCTTATTGCAATCTGAAAACAAATCATGTGGCCCTTCAACGTCAGCCGTAAGCAAAAGAAATGTCACCAAAATAAGCTTCAGCATTGCCTTCAAATGAAAGAATGATGTTATTCTTTACTTTTCGTTCAGGATTTTAATTGGACAAAAGGTTAAAATCATATTTAAAACGTATTTTGATGTAAAGCGATTAGTAACTTTAAATTAAATTCGATTGTGAAGTGAATAAAAAGTTTTTATAATTGAAAATGAAAAACAGTGAGACAACCAGCGTTTTTTTCAGTTTTGAAACAGGATTAAGGAATTTTGAATCGAGGTTTATGGACATTGGAAAAAATAATACAATTTCAAAAATCTATCAATTAATATGAGATTTGAATTAATATTAATATAATCGTAGTATTATAAAAAATAAAATTTATTTAATCACCAAAAGTTCGTTCAAGTATTCGTGTAAACATCACAGCTGAAGATTTTCTGTGAACCATCCTAAAAATAAGTTTTATGAAAAAAATACAAAATAAATGTAGCATGGTTATATTAACAAAAAGAAAAGGGGTTTAAGATACTTTTTCATTTCGATGTCATATAACCACCTCTATTTTCTTTATTTAAAATACCTGTGAGTAATTTGCTGATATTTTTTAGAAAACTCTTTCTCACTCATTGTCGACTCAATAGATTCACTTCTCTGCAGGGCGGTTCCTAAATATTTGTTTATAAATAAAAGTATACAGTGTGACCCATCAAAAATGATATAAGGGCATTTTTATTGCAAGCCCCTATCATCATTTTAAAGCACTCACAATTCGCAAATGCTCCTTAATGTTAATCTCTACTAGAAAGTGAGCCTTTTAAGTAGCCTCGCCTTTAGCAGCTTTCTTGCGAATATTAGATAAAATATTTTAAAAATCGGTATTCCGGGGGACGTTGTCCTACCCCCCCCCCCTTCAACTTTACGGGATTCTTTCTTATTTATTCTTGTTCAGACCAAGCAAAAATTCTGTTGTGATCGGCATGCTACTCTACTACTGGAGAGTCTCTTCAAATTGTTAACAATTCAACCTGAATATTGTTTCTCATATGAATATTGAATAATATTATTGATTAACCTGTAGATGATGAATTGTGAACTGGAAATATTTCTCCAACATAAACCCATGCCTCGTTCTCATACTCACCCAGATATAGACCTTAACATTAAACAAACTTTTTTCATATTAATAATTTAGCTTTTAACTGCTGCTCTGAATGTGGTGGATTTTTTATTTAAATTGGCGCATTTTTTAAAAATAATGATCTTAGGCATTTTTTTCTTGGCAAAATGTTAAGTTTTTACGAAAAAATATGGCCGCTTGAGAAGCAACATATATAGTTATTTTTAAATTATTGTTATAAGAAGGGCACGAAGCACCCTTGCGACTTTATCATTTTATAAATATCAATGTTTTATTGTTGCAATAATATTTAATATTATTTTGTTAAATTGTCCCTGTAATAACTAACATTAAAGAAGATTCAAAGTAATAGTTATGTTTAAATCCTATTTAAAAAAAACTTTTACACCTTTGATATTGGAGATCATTGTGAAAACTGTACTAGTTTAATTACAGTGAAATCCAAGCCAAATTGTATAATCTTTTATCTCAAAACCAACTTATAAGAACGTTCCTGTGGGTCTCCCAAATTTCCCTGTCAAGATTTTAGGCAAATTGGACATGGGTTTCCCATATTATCATCGGTTATCCAAATAAACAAACAGAGATTACAACTTGATAAATATAGATATAAAATTTAAGGAATTATTCGTTAGAATTTACCTTGAGGTTCATCTTCTTTATCACGAACAGCCTGAAGAATTCTATCAGAGGACTTGGACCTGTTTCTGTAATATTATACGATGATAATAATAATAATGTCGATGTTGATAATAATAATAAAAATATTAATTTACAATAAAAGTAATAGTAATAATAATAATAATAATGATAATTATAATAATGACTATAATAACAGTTATAATACAACTAATAGTAATAATAATAATAATGATAATTATAATAATGACTATAATTACAATAATGATAATGATAATATTGATGATAATAATATACCTAGGTCTAAGAGCCCCCTTGGCAAATCTATTTGATAAATATCTTTTTGTTTTCTCCTCGGGTAGTCCTGATAAACTGTGGGCTGAAGAATTCTTATCATGACTTGATCTAAATCAATTCATTATTTTTCAAATAAATAAACTTTATCAGTTTTAATATGTATCTTATAATTTAAATGGTGTTTTTCCTCAACGTTTTTGTTTCTTAATTTTAGTATAACCTGGAGTTTATTTTGTGTACTATATCTGGTTCTCGTGGGTCAAAAGATCGCATTCCTGGCTCTATGATTCCAATTGCGGATTTTCTTCTGAATGAAGACGATCTGCTGGAAACATGCTCAGAAAGCGCATCTGCCGCGTTATCCGTAAGTTCTGGCAGCTGAATATCAGGGAGAAGGGATGTATGACATTTTAATAGTTCTGGGTGCTCAAATTGCTTCACTGATTTTTCCTTAGTATAGTAAGTGGCCTCATACTAAAAAAGAAAATTAGTTTTTTGGGATCATCAAAATGACTAAACGAAAAAATTTTAATTATGATAGTTCAGAAACTACATAGCTCGTGGTAAATCTAAAATCATGCTTTAATTTTAACTTATAACTCATATTTAACCCTAAATGTACCTTAATCTTTTCTTTGCTCTCTGCAACTGCAGTGCAAGTTGATATTGAAGATTCAGTAATAAAGTATTCAATGTCAGCTTTTGCCGTTAGGCTGGCCACAACATTTTCAGGTGTGTCCATTGTCATTTCTACCTTTTGTAAATTGTCATCAGCAGACTAAAATGAAAAGACAATTATGATTTAAATGAATAAAAATAAATGCATTACTGAATAAAGAACCGCCATACCAGTTTCAATGGAATAAAATTCTCCTAGAAACTTGATCTTATCTTGGCTCAAGTTGAACAAACAACTTTTCCTTTCTCTTAAATGTTTTTATTGTTTTCTCAATGAGTTGATGTTTTGAAATGAAAAGTTCCAATCCTATTACTGTCTGCTCTCCGTATTTTCATACTTAATAAGTAAACCTTCCATAAAAGATAGATAGTTTACTATTTTGTTAAACAATAATCTTAATCAAGTATTTCTCTTTCTTCTAAATAACACATCGATAAAAAAAACACATTATTGGCTAAACATGATTTATTTCTATAAATTCAACGCTTTGATCTAACCCCTAAATAGCAGGGCCACATCAGTTAAACTACTTTAATTTTACTTAACCCTAGAAAAGGTGTGGAGGGGGGGGGGCGTCTGGCGTTTTGACCTTAGCATTCTGATTTTTTAAAAACATTTTGTTTAATGCAAAGGGTAGGGACCAAGATGGTACAAAGGCCAGTTCGTGAAAAATCTAACCCTCTACTTTAATTATAAGATGTTTTTCTAAGGGGGGGGGGCAGGCTTTATATAGATTCAGAACCCCCGGACATTATAACATCTTTAAAAGCCGCTTGGTCAATTTGTATTAAACCCTTGTTAAAAAAATATTTATTTCATCAAATAAATACTTTTGATTAATATTGATAAAATTAGATAGTGTTTACCTGACTCAGAGTTAAAACATGTTCAGGCTCCTTTTCTAGTTTTGACTGCTTAACAGTAGTTCGGGACTTCTCCGGGCTGTCTCCGAACCCTGCAGGCGGTTTTACAAGAGAAGCTCCTGGCTCCAGGTTAACTTCGCCCTTGTCCAGTTCTACTGAAACATTTTTTAGCAAATCTGGCGAATCTTTGTCTTCTGATTGCATTGTTTCTATCTCCTCAGTATGAAAGCTTTCTGGTTGTTGAGGTGGTCCTTTTTCTGTGCTCGCAGGTTTAAATGGTTCCTCAGCAGGAGCATTAAGCTCTATCCTACTTCTTTTGTATTTATCAGTTTTCAGATTCTCTTCAGACATAATTTCAATTTCTTTTCTTTCTGAACAATTCTCCGCATCAAGGGCAACCATTTTTTCATCTAAAGGCTGAACAATTCCATCTAAAGTGCCTTTAAACGGTTTATGAACAGATTCCAAAAGACTTGAATATTCTTGGTTGTAAAAACTGGGATCATCTTGAGCTTGATTTTCAGTACACTCGCTGATTTCAGAGTAAATAACAGTTTGTGCATTAGTTGAGTCGTTACATGTTAACTCATCCTTCCCTACTTCTTCCACAGAATTGCTGGTTCCTGAGGAGGCAATATTCTTTATACTCTCAATACAACTGCTTTTACAAACATCCTCATTTACGGACATGATTTCATCCAATACTGACTCTTTGGGTTCAGAGTTTAGTTCATCCGGAAACTCCACAGCGTTCTCTTTGGATGCACTTGTAAAAGAGTCATTTATTAAGAATCTAGAATTGCTGAAAATCGGAGCAGTGGATTTCCTGGGTAAGGATCCTGATCCAGGTGGGGGTTTATTATCAATGTCGAATCCAGGTACAGATTGAATTGGAGAATCAAGGTTGGATCCTGAAAAAGATTCAGTGAGAGAATCTTGTTCAGATTTGGTTGGTGATAATACATCTTCATATTGATGACTTTTAGATGGGGATTCTAGAATCATTTGTGGTATTAATTCACTAGGAGACATTAGATTCTCTATCTGGGTTTTATTATTCATCAAATCTTCTCCTATTTCTGATTCTAGATTGGTTTGAGAGTCTTGTGGTTTTCCATCAGAACTTTCAAATCCGTTCCCGGAGTTTAATTTGGTTTCTGCAGTTTGCTTTAAAATTAGCTCTTCTCTTCTCTTCTGAAATAAACATTGATTCAAATCTAAGTATAGGGATCGAAAATGGTTTCACAGGAAAGTGAAGAGTAATTTTCATAAAAAAACGTGAAATTTGTAAAAGGAAAAAAAACTAAAAGCAAAAAAGCACAGACACTGTTTAATTGTGCCCCGTTTCCACACCCCGCCTTTTTGAAGAACTAAGGCATCGTGCACTGATTAATTGAAAGAAAGTTTTCTTCTTTAATTGTTTGTTTTCAAAATAAAAAAGTAATATAATACAAATACATGCTATATCTAGAATAATGTTCTTGGAATGAAAAAGAATGCAGTGGAAACTGGAAACCAATTAGAATATATATCAGCACTTTTGTGGTTAACTAATCTATTCTAGAAAAGTAACAGACTCTATATTTTGTTTTTACCCTGGGCATTGAAAGTTTTTAAAATACAACGCGTTTCATAGTTAAACAAGGGTTTCAAGCTCTAGCGTAAAATCGAGAAAAATGTCAATCACTTGTTTTTGGCCAAAAATAAAGGATTTTTAAAATCTAAAAAGTACAATGTACATCATACCTGTACAAGTTAGTAATTGCGCCAAAATCATAGGCCAATGATTTGCAACACTTAAAAGTTGACCTAGTGCCCTTTTGTCGTTTGTTTTAGCTGGAAAATTCAGACAATTGTTTTAATTAAAGAGAGTGTTCGCGAAAATTGAAAGGGGGTATAGGCTTAATGCGATAAAAAAGCGCTTTTGATCGCTACTAATCTTACTTCTATCTGTTGTGTCTATAAGGAGAAAATTGTTAAAGCCGTCTCATACCGAATAACTTAGCGCACATACAAATTCAGAAAATTGTAACATTCAACTCGGACCGAAAAAAATCAATTTAATTTCAAACAAATCATTCAGATATTACAACCTATAGTCATCGTTTATCTTTCGCCACATTTGTATAAAGTTTATATTTTATAATATTTTATTTTTTTAGAAAACGTTTTCAACGGATTTCGAAAATTGTGAGTGGTTGTGGTGTGCGGCATTCTTAGATAGTTGCGCAAACGACAAGAGAAACAAACAAATTAATTTAAAAATATTCTAAAATATTAACTATATACAAATGTGGCGAAAGATAATCGATGACTATAGGTTGTAATATCTGAATGATTTGTTTGAAATTAAATTGATTTTTTACGGTCTAAGTCGTATATTGCAATTTTCTGAATTTGTATGGCCGCTAAGTTATTGGATATGAGATTTCTTTAACAATTTTCTCCTTATAGACGCAACAGATAGAAGTAAGATTAGTAGCGACCAAAAGCGCTTTTTTATTGCACTAAGCCTATACCCCCTTTCATTTTTCGCGAACACTCCCTTTAAGAGAAACCCCAGTTTAAAATTCCAAAGATATCTCATATATTCCTGATCTGACAAACTACTGATGTGAATCCTTGGCATCATGTTTACATTTTATCAAGAAAATTCTTCTATTTACCGCGGGTTTGTTATCCGTTTCACTTGTCACATATTCAGACAACGAAGAGGGAAGCTCTGTGTCTGAATTATAGGACGCAGTGTCCTCAAATTTGTCCTCTACTCGGTAATCTTGGAGACATGGTTTCTCATCCTCATCCTCTTCATCCTCATATTCATCATACATTCCATCCTAAACAATTTACACAGTAAAATACACAAAAGTCTCAAGAAATTTGTTTGTTGCATATATAATAAATTTCTTGTCATGTAGTGCGACAAATAAGGAATTGTAGAGTAGACATTTTATACATAATCTCTTTTAACATTGATGTACATATTTTCTGCTGTAATAAGCTGCAACTAGATATAAGTAATTAGTAATAAATGAGTTTTGGAATTCTAACAGTGTACTTTCGAAAAATATCATCTTTGCATCGTTGTTTCAAATAGTGTATATTCTTGCAACATTTTAGCATATTAAGTTTCTTTGTTGTAGAGCTAAATTAGAATAATTTACCTTTTTGTATTCAAATTTGAATTCAGCTAGTTTAGAAGTTGGTTGTTATTAATTTGCATTTTTACTTTACAGACTCTAGTTTAGTTATACATATTATTTGAAATTTGACATAACTACAACTTTATACTCTACATTATCTTATTAGAAACATTATTAAACTAGGGATAAAGACATCTTAATAACAACCACTATCACAGAAAAAAGTCTGAGTTTTGACTTCTTGATTATATGTACAATAAGTAAACTCTAATCTAATCGAGAGGAGATCTGTTGATTTCTAACCCACTTATAACCTCGTTGTTTCTAACGAACAGCAGCCTTTACCCATCATTTTAAAACTTTAGGGTCTGCTCTTCATACAGTGGTTGGCGATTATATCAATACAATAAAGAGGACTTTTAAATATAATTTTTGACTGTTAACCAGCTTTTTTCGAATTAAAAGTTTACAATTAATTAATAAGAAGCTTTTTTCATTAACGGCTTCTCCGTGGTCATATTTCATGTGTATTCATGGTTCTTAAAAGCTAAAGCCCGGGTTATAGAACAAGCTGGAACTTGCCCTAACTACGACTTTGATTACAGACATAGCTCTGAGCTCTGATTTTAAAATTGGATCACATCTCGTTTATTAGTCTCAGGTCATAGCATTTGATAGCTTTGACTTCAAGTCGCAGCTGAGCTGTAATCCCAGCTATCATAGAAATTTGACCGCTTAAAGGGAGTGTTCGCGAAAAATTAAAGGGGGTATAGGCTTAATGTGATAAAAAAGCGCTTTTGATTGCTACTAATCTTACTTATACCTGTTGCGTCTATAAGGAGAAAATTGTTAAAGACGTCTCATACCGAATAACATGGCGTCCATACAAATTGAGAAAATTTCAACATACGACTTAGACTTTAAAGTACGACAATATGTATACAATTAAAAACAATATAATATGATCAATATTTCATATTTTTATCATTATGGCTGAATATATGTTCCAATTTCATTAGGGTTCTGAAAATAATGGCTTCCAGTTTATTCCCATGAGCTGTGATTTGGCTACGAAGTTGGAGCTAAATTGTAGCTGAGGTGAGATTTGGATCAGCTGAAATTTTGCTATGACTTCATTACACCTAAGGTGTGATCTAAGTGTCTTCATTGACTAATAAACCAAGAAAGCTTTGACTAGCTACTGCTCAGCTGTCAAGTCATAGCTACAGTTCGTTCTGTGACCCGGTCTTTGATATAAATCAAAATTGAAATCGAAAGTCGTCTTCCTTGTATTGATACATTTGCTATAGAAATGAAGGTTTTGCTTTTTTCTAACAAAGAAGATATTGTTTTTAAGATTTCTCATGAAAAAATATAATACATTTGGTCTAATTGCTCTCTCACATTTCCTACAAAATACTTAATTCTTATTTTCTCGGAGAACAAAATTATACAATAAACTTGAAAGCTTTTATATTTTAACCGATTTCTGAGAAAGAAATGAAAAAAAACTCAAAAATCATCAAATTCAATCAATTTTATTTACTACTCCTAATTTAGCAGTGTTTTTGCAGAGGACAATTCATTAATGGTTCGCATTCACGAATTATGCATTTTGCATTATGAATTATGCATGAACAAGTTCTTTTGAACAAGTTATTTATTAAGAATATTGAAAAAAGGAGAAGAATAACATTTAATTGGACAATATTTAAATGTATGTTAAAAATTAATGTTGTGGTCTATTAATTGATTTATTTTGATATTTTTTTCACCTTTAAACCTGGAAGAATCTTATCAGTGTCTGGAGTATTTATTGGAGTTCTTTCAACTTTCCAGTCTCTTAATCTAAACATCAAATGATGGGTTTAAAGGGACTGTACACGTATTTCAACTGACTCTTTCTGCAAATTTGGCAACATCCGATGCACAACTTTCATCTGATCAATAATGAAGAAGATATTGTCGTTTTTCGCAGTTAACATTGTTTAATTCTAATATAATTATAAACGTGGTTTCATGCAGTAGAAATGAACAAGTCACTTTCTTAAAGAAACCATAGTTTAAAAATAATCAGTTTTTTTAAATTCTGAACATTGATATATAATTCAGGTTTGATCAGCTAGACAAAGCTGTTAGGGGTACGAATGTGAATCGAGCATCGCTTTCTTGGAATGTGGATGCAGCAAAGATGGGAGAAAATTGAAAGATTTATTTCTGTTAAAGTGGTGACCTTTCCCACTGTTGAATCATCTTCAGTATTTTTATTTCAAAATTTCATTGAAATGTATAAATGTCCTGTATTTCAATGTATAAATGTTCTGTATTTAAATGTTTAAATGTCCTGTATTTCAATGTATAAATGTTCTGTATTTAAATGTTTAAATGTCCTGTATTTAAATGTATAAATGTCTTGTGTTTCAATTTATAAATGTCGTGTATTTCAATGTGTATATGTCCTATATTTCAATGTATAAATGTCCTGTATATTAAAGTATAAATGTCCTGTATTTCAATGTATAAATGTCCTGTATTTCTATGTATGAATGTCCTGTATTTCAATGCATAAATGTCCTGTATTTCAATGTATAAATGTCCTGTATTTCAATATTTAAATGTCCTGTATTTAAATGTATAAATGTCTTGTATTTCAATATTTAAATGTCCTGTATTTAAATGTATAAATGTCCTGTATTTCAATGTATAAATGTCCTTTATTTCAATGTATAAATGTCCTGTATTTCAATGTATTAATGTTCTGTATTTCAATGTATAAAAGTCCTGTGTTTCAATGTATAAATGTCCTATTTTAGAAAGTCACAAAATATAAATATGTAAAATTAAACTTTTAAAATTGTTGATTTTAAATATAACAATTATTTGTCTGATCTGTTAAAGGGACTGTAAGCGTAATTTTCAAGTGACCCTCCATGCAAGCAATGACCAATTCACATAGGTACCCTTGAATAGTCAATTATTTCAAAAATATATCGTCATTGTTCTAGGATTAAAAGTGTTTAATTCTAATAATTCTTTTATATTTTTCCACACTAGAAATGCGTAATCTACTGTTGTAGAGCAACCGTCGTTAAAAATAATAAGTTTTCAAAATTTTAAAAAAACACATCCAATGCATACTTGATCAGTCAAAGCTTTAAAGGAACCGTTGTTAATTGGGCATTGCCATTTTTGCATGAACGGTTACTTAAAATTACGCTTACAGTCCCTTTGAGTGGTATTTTTAAAGACTGTTATGGGATATTACATTCGTATCTAGTAATTTTGAGTAAAATAAGAAAAACAAATCACAACTCAATCTCAAAATGTTAAAACGATCAAGTAGACATCAAGCCAGGACAAAAAGTGGTCAGCCGGGACAATTAGATTGACAGCCGGGACAATTAAGTTGACAGCAGGGACAATTAAGTTGACAGCCGGGACAATAAAGGGGTCAGCCGGGACAATAAAATGGTCAGCAAGGACAATCAAATAGTCAGCAACGACAATGAGGTAATTTATTCAGAATGCGGGAAAACAAATTGGTGACTAAGAGTATAAAATTGTCTGTACCTGAACCCCTCGTGCATAGCTGGACTTCTAGCAAGAGAAGAGGGACTAGCAACGATATCTTCTAGTCCTCGGCCAAGACCAAGGGGAGTTTTCCCGCCAATGGAGGATTTGCGTTGAAGTTTGTTGTCCTCAAAACAGGTTTTTTTTCTTTCAACATCTCCAGTTTTAAAACAGTTTTTCTTCCACAATATCTCATTTTCCCCAGAATCATCAATCTTGAAAAAGAAATAGATTTCAACTTTTTTAAAATGAACTAAAATCGGTTTAAATAAGTTTTGCTTGTCGTCAGATATTTAAAATTTTTTGTCTCGGGTTTAAACTGTTTAAATAGTATGAATTAATCTTTGCTATTACAGAATTAAATAATAAGTCGTTTCCCAGAAGCTGGTGTATTTTTTAATTAATTTTTAATTCTTAATTCTGTCCTATCTGCAGCACTCGGTCCCCAGCCTGTCCTATCTGCAGCACTCGGTCCCCAGCCTGTCCTATATGCATAGTCTGTTCTAGCAGCTGCACTCAGTCCCCAGCCTGGTCTTACCACAGCCCTATGCCTCTAGCCCATCCTGACCGCAGCGCTAGGCCCCATAGCCCAATCTAGCCGCAGCGCTCGGTTTCCCATTTCAGCATGCGGCGACGCAGAGGGCCTAACCTAACCTTTGGGAAGTTGTCGCTCGGAAAAATGCACATTTTGGAACTTACCATTTGGAAAATTGTTACTTCTGAAGTCACCCTTGGGAAAATGCCTTTGGGAAAATACCTAGCAGGAGTTACAATATTACAATTGTTTAAACTTCCGTTAATCTTACCTGAGATAGATTTAGTTTCATCTCCTCCCTTCTCCTTGTCAAATCTCCTTCCTTTATCCTGGATTCCAGATCAAGATCATTTCCAGGAGTTTCCACAGCTTCAGAGCAGTCTTTAATCTCAGATACATGTTCAGGGGCGTCATTGAGATCAAAGTCGTTTATCACGTTATATTGAGTTGAAAATTGCTCGGGTTCAGCAGGTTTGTTTATTACGTTGTCGTCTTCTTTTGACACTTTCTCGAAATCAAAACTTCTAATTCTTTGAGTCTGATTCATAAACAGTACGTCAGCTGACATCTTAGTAGTCTAAAAAAATTGATTATCTATGAATATACTTTGCTTGTTTATCAATCTGTTTGTATCTGATAAACGTCAAACAGCTGAACCAATTAGGACAAAATTATTTGTGGCAACTCATATTACCCCAGGGAAGGTTCATGACTGGTCATAGTTTTCGTATTAAAATCAACACATTTCTTCAACGGAACTTGTGAATTAAAAACTTTCTATATATATTTAAATCCATACTTTAAAATTATTACAGAATTTTTCACAGAATGATCAGAATATAATGGCCTACCTTAGAAAGATGATATGATAATGAAGACGACATTTCTTTTGCAGGCGCACTGTCCGTTGTTACACTGTATGAACCTTAACAAGCAATTTTTAATTTTTTATGAACGTTTTCCACTTGGATATATTCAAATATTTTCAAAATTGTGATTAAATTGTAATTTATAGATTTCTATTGCGATACAAGAAATTTATATGATTTGAAATTGCACAGGCAATTTTAGTTGGATCGAATAAACTCTATTAATCATTATCATATTTGAATGAATTTAGAAGAAAAAACTTCGAATAACTACTGAAGCCAAAACCACGGATTATTCAAGAGTATTGAAATTAATCCATTCGTCTGAACAAAATGGAGATCAATGATATGATAAGTTTAAGAAAATCTCATCAACGGGCTCATTATAATTATAAATTCACATTTTGTTCATTTTCAAAACTTCCATAGGATTTTCCATTCGTTTTTAAAACTTTTGTTTGGCATCATTTCCAGCTCTTGGTGATTTACCTGAGCTACTGCTAACTTCTGAGTCTGGAGATTTCACCAATTCTGTAATAAACATAGAACTCTCTGATTCTTCAGCTAGGACTAGTGTTCCAGGAAAATCAACCGATCTGTCAGATTCTTCAGCTAGGACAAGTGTTCCGGGAACCTCTACAGAACTCTCAGATTCTTCAGCTAGGACTAGTGTTCCAGGAACCTCAACAGATCTATCAGATTCTTCAGCTAGGACTAGTGTTCCAGGAACCTCTATAGATCTCTCAGATTCTTCAGCTAGGACTAGTGTTCCAGGAACCTCAACAGATCTCTCTGATTCTTCAGCTTGGACTATTGTAGCAGGAACGTCAATAGATCTGTCAGATTCTTTAGCTAGGACTAGTGTTCCAGGAACCTCAATAGATCTCTCAGATTCTTCAGCTAGGACTAGTGTTCCAGGAACCTTAACAGATCTCTTAGATTCTTCAGCTAGGACAAGTGTTCCAGGAACCTCTACAGAACTCTCAGATTCTTCAGCTAGGACTAGTGTTCCAGGAACCTCAACAGATCTCTCTGATTCTTCAGCTTGGACTATTGTAGCAGGAACCTCAATAGATCTGTCAGATTCTTCAGCTAGGACTAGTGTAGCAGGAACCTCTATAGATTTCTCTGAAGTAGTATTGGCAAAACTACCATCAGATGATGTTGCAGGAATACATGAACTACTTTCGTTGGACTTCTCAGACAAACTTCGGGGTCTTGGTTCTCTCAATTCTGGGGCTTCTTTTGGAAGCGACTGGTTTTCCATTATTGTCTTTTGGGGGGTTTTCTTTAAAAGTGTCTCCTCAGTATTATCTTGTGAGTAAGAACCTCCATCAAGAGTCAGAAGATTATCATTCTGAAAAAAAATATTGTAATAATGTATATACTCTCAAAGGACACTTTCAAATAGAGTTTTTAGCTAAGCTTTTCAACGATTATTTCATATAAATTTAGGTGGAAAAATTTCATACAATTTTACTTATAAATATTATATCAATATTGTTTCAAATTTTAAACAGAATTTAAATGAAGATTTTTATCAGGAGAACAAATGTTTTAATTCTAACACATTCTATGTTTTCAAAAGAATCGAAGAAAGCAAAAACGACTTTACAAAGAAAAGAATAAAAAGATTAGTAAGAGTAAAAGAACGTAAAGGATGTCAAAAAACGGCGCGAATTAAAAAGATGCCTAAAAATGCCTGTTTTTCATAGAACCTATATCTCTTTCACACTCCATAAGGCTTTTTTAAAATTTTTTTTACTTTTTTATTAACACTACAAATAAATCTATAATTTTTATTTCTAGAAGTTGTTAGTTCATCGTCGAAAAATACTAACAATCCACCACCAATTTATATAAAATATAGTTTAAACAATACATATGTAACTTTCCTTATCCTTTCCTTTCCCTTTCCTGTTATTTCTGTTTTTATATTTTTTTTTTAATTGGGGGGAAATATTCCCACAACCTCTACTTTTAGAGGTTTTTAAATATTTTCTCCTGAAACACTTAATTTTGTACATTTTTTGTTATAATTCATAAATAAATAATTTTTACTTTACATTACTTTACTCAAAAGTCGTCGTCGACTTAACTAATATTTATTAATTGGTCCAAGGAAAGTTTTTTAAAATGATCATAATATCAAAACTAAACTTTAAGTTCATTTTCTAAAGCAAAACTGTGTTTCTTAGAAAAAATTACCTTAATTATTTCTATTTGAGTGAGTTGTTCATTCGAGACAGATTCTGCTTTTAGAAGAATTCTATCTGCTGATCCCTCTGGTGATAAGCGAAGTGAGCTGGGCCGAGATGAACCTGCTTCTAAATCTTGTTCATGATAATCAGAATTTACTGGTTGTATATATTTCAAGACTGGGATGGGTTCAACTGCTGTACTGGAGGGAAGGAGTTTGGACGGACTATCTTTAATGTTTTCCATTGTATTGTTTGATTGATCTATTGCATTCTTGGATTGATCTGTTCTTTTGGATTTTCCAGATGCGCTGCCAGACCTGCTCAAGGAGCTGCTAGAGCTTACGGACCCTAAATTAAAAGAAAAAATAGAATATATGACGATGTAGAGTTAACTTATATCCATCCTGTTTTACTAAAGAAGGCAGAGCCTTCCGACCACGTATATGTAACTTTGAATGTCGAGCTCTAAGCCTCTAATTGGCTGGGCTTATGATGGCCTGGACCTACGTTTAGGGTTATAGTACTGTCTACAGTTAGAAACAGACAACATATTTGATATTGATTTCACAAACAATTTTGTTTAGCAATTCCGCAATTTAAAAATATTCTTGCCAAACCCAGAGCTTCCCTAATTTAAAATTTGCACACCAACTTAGAGTTTGATTGCATCGTTTTAAGCCTTGTTTTATTTATTAAAGATTAGATGTTCGTGCTTTTCTTAAAGGCATGCTTATCAGATTGGGTTTCGCAATCGATAACTCTGAGCCTGAAATTTAAAAGAGTATCGTTGAACGAAACTTCCGAGTTTCCTTTTTGGGGTCTTATTATTTGTGTAGATTTTGATTTAAGAGATTTGATAAAAATGGTAAGATATAAAGGATTAAATAAAATAATATTTCAAAACAAAAATATCGATATCTACAAAACTGGGTAAACCCATTTGTGAAACCCGGGTTCCAAAACTGGTTTTCATAACGATACCCTGTTTTGTTTTGGGCTCTGGTATCCTGACTAGTCCCTAAACAGGACCTGTTCTGCGTGGGGGTAAACCAAAATATTCACCGGCATAATTTCAAAACCAACAGCAACTGTTCTTTGAGTTAAGATGTGTATTAAGATAAGATAAATTAAAACTCTTTTTAGTGGGGCTGTGCAATGTGCATTAGGTAATTAAAACAATTTACTTGAAATCATTACGGCGATAGTCATTTCTTATGTAAAAAACAATTCTCAGAACAATTTCTCTTACTCCTTCCCCTAAATTGTGCATGGTTACCGAATTCTTCCTTTTCATAAACAGTTAAGTAAAAAAGATTGTTTTCTATACTAAAAAGTGTTGAATTCTGACAACTTCCTACTTTTCTCGGTTGCACAAATTAGTTTTTTCACTTTTCAAGAGTGTCCACAATTAAAAATAATAAATGCGAAGCTATAAAAACTAGAATAATTGATATGTAATTCTTTTTTGATCTGCTTAAGATTACTGTTTCCGACTCGGAAATGGAGGACCACTTGGAAGTGTGTGAACAGTCCTTTTACCTGAGGCAGAGCGATGCTTTAATCTGACCGCAGGGTCTGAATTGAGGGGTTGATGACTCCATGTACTAGATAAGCTAGTAGTATTGGAACCTGGCAGGGTAGGGTTTATCAAGTCTTGAATAGAACTAGTTGAACCCAGGGGAGACAGATGCACACCTTCATCGTAAAGGATTATATACTTGTTAAGAAAACAAAAATGCAATCATATTTTGAGAAATTTCTTTTAAACTTATTTCCCAAGGTCACTTTTAAGTTTTAAGGTTTTTTCACATAAAGACATGTTTTCCTGTTAAAATTAGGATTTCCAATCGGAATTCCTTTGCGTTAAATTGAAGGGATCGCAATTGCGCGCCAAAAAACCATTTGTGTTGGAAAAGGTTAAAAAAACTGATATTATGATCGCCACAGGTAATATGATCGCCACAGGTAATATGATCGCCACAGGTAATAAAGCCGAGAAATAAGAATATGTATTATGTAATCCATTCTTTCCTATATCTTGCTCATCATCTGTACTTATTGAACATTGGCCTAATCCAACCAAACTACTGTTCTGATTCTGAACCTGCTCCACTTTTTTCCTACTGGTAGATGAATGAGATGACCTGCTTGAACAGCTGGCCCCTTGACTTCTGTCTAAGGATGAATTTTGTGAGTTTGAACTAGGTTTTGATGTTCTCCTATTCTTTACATGTCTCTCCTCACCACTATACAAATCAATTAACTCAATTAACTAAGAAAGGGGAATTCATTTTCAAGATTGGGTCTGGCGTTTAATTTTTATCTCACTTTTTATACTTTTTAATTTAAGAAATAATTTGCAAAATTCTAATTCTAATAAGTTCGCGTGAGTTCTTGAAAATTTTGGATCAAGCTTTGGGTGTATGTAGTTTTTTAATGTTAACAATGTTTGATATAGCAAAATTCTTAGTTTGAAACAACGAAGGTCTACGACATCAGATTTCCAAGATATACTGATAAGAAAATGTAAGTTTGAGGCAACAGACATCAATTATTGGTTTAAACTACGTAAACGATCCAGTATGTGCTTGATACGATCGTTCAATGAAATCGTGCGTTCAATGAGATCGTTTATTCAGTAAGAAAAAAACTATCGTTTCTTATTAAATTCGTTCGAAAAATCGATCGTTCAGTAAAAAAACTTCATTTTTTTTTCTTAGTTCGTTCGAAAACAGCGTTCGTTTCGTTAAATAAATCGTTAGTTCATTTTAAAAACATAATTTTTCATAAGTTAGTTAAAAAAATTTGCTTAGTAAAACAACTATTGAAATTATTCAAGTTCTTTCAAACGAAAAAATGTCCCTTTTTACCAGTTAATTGGATTTTTAAAAATAATTTGCCTTTGTTGCAGTGCATGCATTTCTTATTGTTATCAACAATTTAATTAATTAAAAATCAGTTAAATAATTTCCTAGAATTATGACTGGTTCTCTCCTTCCTCTTGTACGGAGAACCTGACTTTGGAGAACTTTGCTTTCCTCTTGCTCCCAGTTCTAGACCAATCTCAGGTCTGGGAAAGGAACTGGAAGTATCCGGTCTAGGATAGAAACTGGAAGTAGTTCGGATAGATTGGATAAGGGGAGTGAAGTGAGGAACTACTGGAGATGGAATGGGTTTCGGAGAAGCTATATCCGTCCTTCTCCAGGTTTTTTCCTCCGTCACTTGTCCTTTTCCCTTTCTGAACATTTAAATGAAAATATCTATCTTTGCATATTAAAGTTGTATTATTCCAATTTTACTTATATTTTGTTAATATCATCATCTTAAGATGAATTTTTCTAAGAAATACAAAGATCAAATTTAATGAATAGAAATATAATTGATAAACATTTTATTTTAATATTTGAATCAAGGAAAGAAATTAAAATTTTTACAAAAAAAAAGTTATATTTAGTGTTAAGAAATACAACCTTTAAATTTTCATTTTAATTTTTATATTTTTTCTGAAACGTTTAAACCCACTTTTTTATACAGTGTTTTAAAAACAGACAACTTAATTCAGGTGTGTTTAAAAACACTAATCAACAGAGAGTGTTTAAAAATACTATTAAATAGTGCGTTAATTAGAAACCTCATATTTAAAACAATGTGGCAAAATAAAATATTTTTGATAGAAGTTTAAAAATTGGATTAATTTTTATTTTATATGTAAAACCAGTTTTTATCATTTGTTTGGTCAATGTTAAAGTGTGAATAACTAGAGGAATAGTACGTCTGCTGTTCTGGAGATATTTCCTAAATAAAATTTATTGAATTCAAAAAAAAAAATGTTCACAATATAAAACACGGTGTTTCAAAATCTGCTTAATTTTTTAAATATATCTATCTGCATTTTTTCAAATGTTTCTTTTTAACTTAATCAAGAAGCAACCTTAAACTTTAAACTTTTTTCTACTAACGATAAACATTTTGTTAGGATTAAATACATACATTACATACATTACATTAGTCAGGACTTATCTGGACCATAAGGGCTGTTTTCAATAATAGGCTTATCTGGCCTATAAGGGCTGTTTTCAATAATAGGCCCTATACACAAAAAAGTACAACAAATTTAAGGCAAGGAGGAGAGAGAAAAAGAAAATGAATGGGTTACTATTGATTTTTTTGAGTAATATATATATTTATTACTGTTCTAAATTGAGAGATGAAAAATATTTTTATTTACATAAATGTATAAATAAATATAAAATATCTGATCTGGCTGTTTTACTTGATTGATTTGAATGCAAATTATAAAAATATATATGTTTTTCTTTTTGTAAGTTCTTACTAACATATAAGCAAACATACTTTGAATATGGGCAAGCTCATTTTCTTTAAATATTTTTTATGAATAACAAAATTTACAAAAACAAATTTATTGTTAATTTTAAATGAAAGTAAAACATACCAAGATTACTATGCATAATATATAAATAAACCCTAAAAATGTTCATAATCCAAAACTACCAAAAAAAACTAAAAAAAACTTAAAAGATGATTTTGTGTGGCTTCTCATTAGATAACAGCAAAACTCCAAAACTGGGAAAAATGTCAAAACAAGGAGGTCAGAATTAATATATACCAAGAACTACTCATACTAGTTGAACTTATTATACAATTTCTTCCTATTCTTTAATTCTGATTTTCGGGACCAGACCAGATCTAATAAATAGCGAAAAGTGGTTGAACTGGACAAAGTTGAATAACTTCTTTTCACTTCAAACTAGATACATGTAAATGCCAGTCTAGGACAAGCCAAGAGCGGATATTGCGAAAATACCTTTTTCAATGTTGCACTTTTAACGAAATATCAAAATATTGCTAATCATTGGGCAGAATTAATTTTCTTTTAGTACGAGGAAAGGGTCGGACCGGTACAAGAGTGGAGGATAAGGTCGGACTGGTACAAGAGTAGAGGATAGGGTCTGACCGGTACAAGAGTAGATGATAGGGTCTGACCGGTACGAAAGTAGAGGATAGGGTCGGACCGGTACAAGAGTAGAGGATAGGGTCGGACCGGTACGAAAGTAGAGGATAGGGTCGGACCGGTACAAGAGTAGAGGAGCGTTCATAATTCCTGACATTCTGAGATGGTAGTGTCTTTAACTTTAACCGGCGCAAAGGAGAAGTGGTTCAACTACATCTACACGGTTCAACTATTTCTCGCTGTTTATTAAATCCTAAATGCTAAACTATCTAACCTGAAGGATTCCCTCCGTGGAATATGATTTCATTAGTTTATTATTTCTCCGAGCTGAGTTCTTACTACTACCACTACTGTACCCAGAATCAAGACTAAAAAAGAAATATAAAAAATTATATCATAAAATTCCATTTCTCGTTATGGACAGATTACATTGTTTAGACTTTGAGACGGTAATTTTTGAAAATACCCTAAGATGAAACAGAAAGTAGACACTTTAAAGGAATATTTTAAAAAAATCAAATCGCCAAAAAATATATCCAATTACCTAGAATTGTAAAATTTAGTATAAAAGTTAACCATTTAGAAACATATCGACTTCTTTCATTTTTTATTCATAAATTAAATTATAGTTCTTACACCTTTTTTTTTTGCTTATTTGTGTTAATCGCAAATACCCTGCGGATGTAAACAGTAAAATGAAGTCCGTTAATCTTAAAACATCCTTTCCAAAGAAACATGATTATCTCGATTGCGTTAGACTTAGATGTAATTTATTTTTATTTTTCAATTAACTGCAAATCCGTTTCCTGCACTCAGAATCAATACTAGAGGTTTCTTTTAGTTATGAAAATATAAACATAGATTAATAACAGTATAGATAGAACAATAGATGTCATCTGTATTGTTATTTATTTAAGAATATAGGATACTGAAACTAAACAACTCGAAGCTCTCATCCTTGCCGTAGCACTAGACCCAGAAATGGTCTTAACCCAGCCTAACGCAACATTTTTTAACTTTCGACATTTGGCAGTAGTGGACGTTTTGTGGTATTCGACGTTTTATTATTTGATGTTTTGTAGCAGTCAACGATTTGTAGATGTCAACATTTTGTATTATCAACGTTTTGTAACAGTCGACTTTAATTGTATCATCGACGTTTTTTTCATAAAATTTCGATCGAAGAATTCAATAGAACCACGGAAATGTCCGTAGCTAGGTTTAAAATGTCTAAGTTAAGTGGTTGAACATTTAGAGAAGGTTTAGTATAGATAAAGATAGATTACGTGCATAAGACGACATTTTTCATCTTGAAAGATATGAATGCACAGAGATGTTTTAAAGATATTCCTATTATATACAGAGTGTCCCACATCATATTAGACCGAGAACGGGTCTAAATTATGATTTTCGTGACTAATTAGAAAATTTCATTAGAATAAATCATTTTAAAAAATAACATAAGGCTTATATAAGAATTTTCTTGCGGAAAGTGATAAGTTTTTCGAGTATTAATTGGGTTTATTTTGGTGTTAAAGATTGGAGATAATCTAACATGATATGGGACGCTCTGTAGATTAACTAGGTCGGTTGTGAACATTAATTGTTCTTATGTCATTGAGTACTTCTGTAGAGAGAACTTTAAGTTAGTTTAATTCTTCTCATGTCCTTCTTCAGTTCTCGCCAATATGATATATTGCTCAGTGAGATGTTGTTGTTCAAAAAGTTCCATTCCTGGAGTTATTTTACACTCTATTATGAAATCCATTAAAACACCAAACCACCCCGCTTATCATTGAAGTACACTTTGACCCCTAGAAGTAAGAGTTCGAGGACTGTACAATTCTTGGTGATTTTGCGTACATAAGCTATCTATGTTTATTTATTTATCTATGGGTTTAGTCTCTAAGCAAAGCCGGGTTCCAAAGCTGTATATACAATTGTAATCTCTGTTTGTCTAGTTGTTGCGAGGTTCGATCAGAACTAGAATGTTAATCAAGGAACTCAGTAGAACCACGGAAGTGTTGTTTTTGTCTGTTTAGGCTGACTACTCAAGAAGAAGATTTGTTTCTAGCGGTTTTTTAAAATTTAAAATAAATATATTTTTTTCAATTGATTGTCTTTTGCAGTATTATAAAGAAAACAATCTTAGCTGAAAACTTTAGAATGTTGGTTGGAGAAACGGGAGGGACTCTCTAAATTTAAAAGACTGGTTTTTGAATTTTCTCTACTATATGCAAGAAAGAACGTTTTAAGAAGAAAATCAAAAGTGAGTCCATTGGATACTCAGATTAAGAATATCTCCTTCTAAAGTTTTCAGCTCTGGACATACAAACAAGAGAATCAGTTCGAGGCTGTAAAATTTCTTCACTATTTTAACTCAGACAAGCAATTTACTTTCAGTAAAAAGCAGGGCTTCCATATTTGCTGCATGGGTTCTAGGGCATTACTGCCTAAATGCCTTGTTTACCTATACTAAACTTAATCATTTTTTTACAGGCACTTTTTAAGTGAATTAGCATGTTTGATTTTTTGTCGTAGTCTAAGAATATTCTGGGTCAAAGGCTTTTTAAAAATGTCTATTTAATTATATTTTGGGCCATTTTTTTGCACATTTTTTTACTATAAACGAATTTTGCATTAAAAACTTGATTTTTTTAGATAATTGATATGCTTCCCCAGAGCCTTTAAATGTATAATATTCATATGCCATTCATATGCCATAAATTAGTATCTCAATTCTAGAAAGGGGGGGGGGGGTTAATTCCCTCTAGTAAATTAACGTCAGTAGGAATAGGGTTAAACATTTATTCATTAGGAGCGTTTTTTCAACGGCAAAAATAATAATTTTTCATTGTTCCCTCAATTAAAGTTTAAAAGAATCAGCTGAGGTGCATTCAGTTAAATGAAAAATTCTGAATACAGATGTACAGTTAGAAAAAATAAGAGCAATATAAGATTGAAAGATCATGAGAAAAAAAGAATAATGAAGTCTAAAAAAAAGTAACACTTTATTATAATGAAGTCTAAAAAAAAGTAACAATTTATTATAATGAAGTCTAAAAAAAGTAACACTTTATTATAATGAAATTTAGAAAAAAGCAACCTTGGATTTAGAAATTAAAATTGACTAAATAACGAGGCACATGATAAAATTCAATCATCGAATAATATTTTATTAGCTGGTAAAAGTCCTTTTCCCAATCCAAAATAAACATTTATAGCCTGACATAAATTCCAGCTGTTAACAGGAACATAAAGAATTGTGCTAAATAAGCTAAAAATAGATGTTCATAGCAGTGTAAAACCTTGAAATCAAATATTAAAGGTTGTCTAAAATATAATTGCCAAGATCTGAAACTCTTGCATTGTGAATATCGAGATCAATAAGTTGATCTTTTGTTGTTCTCCAGATTATTCTATTCAATACCCTGAATTATTATTGTATCAAGTTAGAGGTTGAAGTGAGCTTTNAAGAATGTACTGACCTTTGCATGTACTGCATTTACATCCCATTGTTTTTTAACATGATGTGTCTAATACAAATAAAAAATCAATTTAAAAATTAAGTTTTATTTTCAAATTTATTTTCAGAAACTACCTGAGTGGTAAGTCCAGCAATTCCTCCATTAGTTTGAACACCTTCAGATACCAACTGAAAATTTTTTTTTTTACTTTTCTTATTTTAGATGTCAAAAATCTATGACCAAGTATAAAAAATTTTAATTGAATGAAATGCAAAGTTTCTTGTTCCCAAAATGTAAAGTAATTGAGGTTTGCCACAAACTTCGATATTTTAATCCCTATATCATTGCAACCAAATATCGCAGATCTTCGGTATTTCAAACTATAAAATCTATTGGATCAAAATATCTAAGTTTGAAATATCAATGGTGTATACCATTAGGCTGCAAAGATATAGAGATTAAAAAATGTGAATTTGTGGAAAAGACTCAATTTGTATAACTCGTTTATTTTGCGTAAAGATTTTCAAATAAATATTGTATTTGCGTAAAGATTTTCAAATAAATATTGTATTTGCGTAAAGATTTTCAAATAAATATTGTATTTGCCTGCATTCTATTCCATTTTTAAACTAAAGAATTGATTTTTGACTGGCAAATAACAAGCAGAAATCTACATTAAAGCCTCTCAATGTTCTTCTCTTCTAATTTTTTATTAAAGCAATATCAAAAATTTCAAACTAAGATATTTAAGAGTCAAGTAGATTTTCTTCTTTAATTGATATCCAGGGAACAGATTCAATAAAAAGCGCGAAAAACCTAGATATAAAAATACATAAAAAGTTTGTCCCGTTAAAAATTAAAAAGATCTTTATTGATTCTTACATTTTTTTCCCACAAAATGTAACATTTCCAAACTTTGATCTAAGTCTAACCTTTCTTTGCCCACTGTTAGTTCTTCTCATCTGATTAATCTGCTGTAGCTGTAACAGCTGCTGTTCTCGCTGTCTTTTAACATCTGTCTGTGTAGCTTGAGTACGCATATTTGTCTTTTTCATCCGATCTTAAAAAAATAATAATTTTAGAAACTTTAAGTTATAATAAATGATATAAATGTTTCTTTAAATTCTACAGGAAGAACTCTTCAGAAAATTTAAAAATTATGAATCATTTAAATAAACTGTATTGATATATATATTTATTATTAAANGCTCAGAACTTAGGATGGCACATTTATTTATTCAGAAATACATGATTAACAGTTTGATCTTGAAAATTCAAATTCCAGATACATAAGGCTAATGTAAAAATTTGCAAGCAGAAAATACTAGGTTTTTCGATTATTATTTGCTTATTTTGGGGTTAAAGCTTGGAGATTTGACATGGGACGCTCTGTATAACAACATTTAGTTGATAACTTGATATCTATTAATTTTTGATATTTACCTAAAATGATTTGTCTTGCCAGCTCTGGGGTAAAAAGTTCGCTATAAAAGGCATAATCAGGAGTTTTCCTTCCGTCTATTAGACGCTCAGACGACTAGACACAGCCATTGTTTATTCTTATCTCATTTTAGATTAATTAGTTCTTTGTAAAGATCTAACCAAAATTAAGAAACTAAAACTAGGAATAAAGTTATAAACATTTTTTAAAGTTTTAGAATACAATGGCAGGCAACAACACAACATTTTTCGAATCCCAGAATCGTGGTTTTATCGGAAAAAAACCCTTTTGCTATTATCTTTACTTTGTGTTGTTAAATTATGAAATCCAAATTATAAAATACCTAAAATAAATATAACATTTTGACGATAAAAGGTGCTTAAAAGGGAGAAAAAAGCAAATAAATATTTAAAGCTTTTCCTAGTTGTTATTTTAGAGAGAAAAGGAAACTTTCAGAAAGGATTCGTCAGCGTGGTAAAAAAACACAAAAATGTCAGAATTTTTGGCCAAAAAAAAAGTGATGGGACTGTCCCCACAAATTTTATTGATAAGTTCATTTGCAGTTTCTCTTCATAAAGTGAATTGCAGATTTTTCGCATTTTAGGGAAGCAACTCGGTAGAATATATTTAGTTTTAGGTTAGAAAACAACAATATTCTCCTTATTTCGTATGTCTAGGGCTACAAAAAGTACTAGTGAGTTAATGAGATAAAATCAAAGGGGTTGTAATCCAGTCTAGAAAATTGATGCAACTTTTCCTAACGGATTGGATGTACGTGTAGACTTTATGTCAACAGTCTCTTTTTTTAAATTATCTTTTTGAATAATATTGATGTGTTCCTTAGATGGTGTTGCAGAGAGTGATGGCTGGGTGTGTGTAGAGAGAGGAGGGGATCCAGGGGTTCGGGAATATATACTATTTCTTTACAATCAATTAATCAATTATGCAATCAATTAATCAATCAATACAAAATCAATAGAAAAAGCATAGAAAAAAACAATATCAAACAAAAATTAAAAAAATATTTTTAGATGTAATAATCTTTCAAATCTGTGGGAGGAGGAGATGGGTTCAATAAGCGTGGGGAACAAATTTGTTTCTTCATAGATTATTAAAAACCACATTCATCAGTATAATTGTCCGTATTAATTAATTGATTAATTTCCTAAATTCTGAATCTGACATTGAGCTCATGGTCTGGGATCTGAGGAGGCCGACCTCCTGGGATCTGAGTGTGCCAGCCTCGAAACTAACATGCTTCCCCTTCATCTTGTCATCTAAACTTACCTCGGAGGCGTCCAGCTAGAAAAAATAAAAAATAAAGGAATTTTTAGAAAATAAAAAATATCTGCCTCAAAAAATCAGTATGAAATTCAAGTTAATAGTAAAAATGCCTTCCAAGGCCATTAAGATAAATGCTTTTTGATTTGACAGAGCTAAACCCTTTCTCTAGAGGTGTTAAACCTTTTAAAAATATTTTACAGTTTAGGATTGGTAGAACTGTTCTTTTTAAAATCAAATTGTTGTTAAGTAGTTTAACAATTAAGTTGTTTAATTGTGCCATTTTAGAAACATGTATCATAAAAAATAAAAGATAAAGCCAAGNAGATAAATGCTTTATAATTTGACAAAGATAACCCGTTTCTCTAGAGGTGTTAAACCTTTTAAAAATATTTTACAGTTTAGGATTGGTAGAACTGTTCTTTTTTAAATCAAATTGTTGTTAAGTACAGTTGAACAATTAAGTTGTCTTATTGTGCCATTTTTCCTACAATTTAGAAACATTTTATCATAAAAAAAATGATAAAGCTAAATAAAGTAATTTGAAATTTAGATAAAATTGATTCTTTTTTATCAATTCATTTACACTGATTTACAATTGATCAAGAAAGGGACGAAGGGGCAATGTTCAGAATATTGAAAATGTAAAAAATTCACTGTAATTAAGAGATAATTCAAGGGTAATTCAGGTGTTATTTAGGAATAATTTTTTTTACCATAAATCATCTTTCATCGTTTATGAAATTACCTTAAAAATAGCAACAATGTTTAAAATAGAAAAGTGTTTAATGTTTAAGTAAGAGACGAACCTGTCTCCTATGCAGGAGGAGATCTGGGGTGTTGGGCTGTGTATAGTTGTGGTTGTTGATATAGGGAGGGCAAGGATAGCCCCACCCCATCACAGGGGGGCGGATCATCATGGGCGGTACTCCAGAATATCCCTGAAATTAAAGAGATTAAAGGGACTGTGCAAGATATTTCAGACCTTAACGTTTAAAAGTGTTGCTTCCCCGATTAAATATTGCGATCCTCAAACTTTTTATATCTGAGAATCAATGACGAAGATATCGTTGTTATTTTTAACGTGGAAAAATAATTTTGAAGGTTTTGTCCCTGCTTCATAAATCCGTAAATGTTACTTTTACATTGATCCCGGATCGAAATTTATTAATTTCAGCGCAGACATGTGTTATATGTTTATCTTTGTTAACATTATTCGTGTTCTTTAAAATGAAATTACTTATAGTTACCTCAATATTCCATTTTCAATAGTTAATTAAATGTCATTAAAAACTTCTTGAAAATAGTTACTAAAATGTCATTAAAAACTTCCTGAAAATAGTTACTTAAATGTTGTTAAAAACTTCTTTCAAATAGTTACTTAAATGTCTTAAAAAACTTCGTTCAAATATTTACTAAAATGTCATTAAAAACTTCCTTCCAATAGTTACTTAAATGTCATTAAAAACTTGCGTTAAATCAACTATGTCCTTGAAAACTTGTTCATTTTAACATTTTTCTATTTAATAACTAGCTTCTTGCACTATATTCAATATAATTTTAAGTAATTAAACTCGTGGTAAAAAATTGAGTTTTTGTCACAAACCAAAATTATTTTGATCTCCCTATACTTTAGCAACCTGATTGTGTATTGCAAACTTTGGCTAGTGGATATATTAGAGTATAAAGTTTGAAAAATCAATATTTCATCTTTTACTGAGCAGCGGCGACCGCGAAAGGAACTGAACTCAATCTATATTTTTCTTTTTTCTTTATCTTTGGTATAAAAACCATTTAATATTCTAAATGTTGACTGTAGTATACTTCAATCTCTAAAAGTGTACGCTATTAGGTTATAAAGATATAAGGAATATAAATTTTGAGTTTGAGACATCTGTTTAGTTCCGCACTTCATTTACAACACTATAAGTTTTAGTTTTTAAAGATTCACAAAATTATATGTCTAAAATGTCTAAAATAAATTAATACTTTTGCAATTCGATGTAAACCTTTGATATTTCATGCTAGGATTGTTGAATCTAATATAATTAATAGTTTGAAATATCAAATGTATAAGGATTAGCAAATTAAAGTTTGTGTGTGGGGGGGGGTTCCTTTAATATTCATTTACATTGTTTTATATTACACTAGCTGAAGGGCCCGGCGTTGACCGTGGCAAAAATATTCATACTCATTTACATTGTGGTAAAGAGACTGTAAGCTTAATTTCAACTGATCCACTTTGCAAAGATCAAAATGCTCGATTGGGTCTGATCAAGTTTGAATCAGAACTTTTGTTTTTAAAAAGAGTTTTTTTTTTGGTTTCTCTCAAAATATGACTTGTGAATTTCTTGCCTATTAAAAAACTGGAAAATTTTTCTGAATAAAAACTTTTTGAGTAAGAAAAACATCCTAATCGTTCCTATTTGTAATCAGGTTTCAAGGGTACCGTTGTAAATCGGATATTGCCAACTTTGCATGGATCATGGTCACGCTTTGCAGTTCTTTTAGATGAATCACTGCACCTCACAAATAGTTTTGTGCGTTTTCATGATATGGTAATGTATAGAGTCATAAAACAGGAAATATATAAAAGATAGACAAATAGTAAATACTAAAAGGTTTTTTATTTACAATAGTTTTCCATTAGAATGTAGACTAAAGAAATGTATATTTTTCATTAACTCATATCTTCAACCTTTATTTTTCTTTCTAACGCACTACCAGGGGGTGTGGAATACACAATTGGATCCGGGAGGTTATTTTTCGCAATTTTACCAAAGGAAGTAACTTTGACCAAAACCGACCTATGGTTCCTGCAATGACAGGATGTTAAAGGGACTGTAAGCGTAATTTCAAGTGACCTTCCATGCAAAAAAGGCAATACCAGATTCACAAAGATAAATTCTAAACTTTCGACGACTTTTTTGACTCGATTTTTTATCTAGATAAATACCAAAGGCATTGAGTCTTAGCAACAAATCCCAATTTTCTAAAACCTATATATCTACAACCAAATTATGTAAACCTTAGATATTTCAAACTTTTATTATTTGATATAACAGAAGTCAAAGTTTGAAATATCTAAGGTCTACAACATTGGGTTGTTAAGATAAAGGGATTTAAAAACCAGAGTTTGTGGCAAAGACTCAATTCCTTTTCCCTCATCCTTGATCTGCCGCAGGTTTAAAGGGAACCGTTGTGATTCTGGAATGGGATTCTTTGCAGGGAAGTTCACTTTAAATTACGCGATCAGTCCTTTAAAGTCACTTTACTTAACCTTAGTTAAATTAAGTAAAATGACATCCTGTTCTGTTTGGTTTTCGTGAAAAAATAGGATAAAATTGTAAACAATTGTGAACGGGTTCTCTAGGGTCTTGGGAACCCTTTGAAGTTAAAAATAAAAAGATTTCTAATAGATTATTTTCTCTTTAAACTTTTTATTCTTTGTGAGGAACTTTTCATTAAATGTTGATTTGTGAACTATTTAATAATTTAGAGACATAAGGTAGTAATTTAAAATATGCAAGAAAATTAGACTTCGCATAAACAGTCTGAAGTACATTTGAATTTCCGATCCGGGTCAACCTTTCCGGTTCCAGTTTGTACTGTACCGCACAGACATTGGGCTAATAAAGCAGACAATCAACAGGACTAGCCGGGGCAACAAAAGTCGCTTCATATATGTTTAATTTACTTTTACTAAAGGGGCAGAGGTACGTGCATAGTATCCTGAAAGGGTGAACATGAGTTACACATGTATCAAATATCATATCAATCCCCATATTTGTTATACTGATTGTATGTACAAAAACTCGTATTTTCGATCAAAAATCTACTTTTCAAGATTATAATTATCAAAACAATATTCATAATTGTCAATACTTTGAAGAGATTGAGTTAAGTAATAAACTTAAAAGTCTGGAAACAAATCAATTCAGTATTTTATCCTTAAACATTCAAAGTCTGCCAGGTAAAGGAATTGAGTCTTGGCCACAAACTCTGATATTATAATCTCTATATCTGCTAAACCCAATGTCGTAGACCTTAGATATTTCAAACTATAAATTATTTTAGATCAAATATACTTAGTTTGAAATTTCAAAGGTTTACATCATCAGGTTACAAAGATATAGGGATTCGAAAATTTGAGCTTGTGGCAAAACTCAATTCCTTTGAAGAATTGAAAACTTTTTAGCCACAACCTTTAACCAATTTAAGCCATCAGTCATTGCACTACAAACAATATGGAATAAACCTCAGGACTTAGAATTTATTTTAGAGAATTACCATCCTTTACACTTTAGAATAAGAGATAAACAGGGATTAAATAACAATTCAGGGGAGCTGTGGGACTTTGGGTGGAAAATTTGTTCTATTTTGAACCTCCTGAGAGTATCTCAATCTTTATTCCTCGGGTTTTTAATCTCAATTTATTAAGATTAAAACTGACAAGAACTAATATATCCTTGTGGGCAATATATATCGTCCAAATAGTGCTCCATATGTAAACATTAAATACTTTAATAAAACAACAAATGAGATATATTCTCTTAGATTAAGTCTGATCCAAATTTTAAGAATGTAAATTAAGTCATCTTAGTAGGGGATATGAATATAAATATATTAAACCACACAAATTACTAGATACGCTTCATGAAAATAGTTTTTTACCACTTATATCTCTTCCAACAAGGATAGCTGGATCCTCAGCTACGATGCTAGATCATATTGTTACAAACATTGCTGAAGATACTTATGATTCAGGTATTATCCTTTCAGATATTTCTGATCATTTCCCAGTTTTTTTTTTATATTCGTCATTATAAAGAAAAATTTACGAAAGTTAATCTTGTAAAAGCATTTCGAAAATGTGATGCTTCCTCTATTTCAAGGTATAAACAATGCTGGCAAATAAACACTGGGTTTTTCTTCTAAACACTGATCAAGAAACTTCCATTAACGTCTTTTTTGAAACTATAGAAAACTGTTTAAGTCTTTATTTCCTGAAAAGAAAATAATTTCTGCAAATGAGAGTAAACCATACAGTCCTTGGATGTCGGAAGCCTTGATTATCTTTAGAGAAAAATAAAAAAAAAAGATTTTTTAATAAAAAATTGAGTAAACCCTGCCCAGAAATGTAAATGAGATTTAAGGAGTAAAATACAGTTTATATTCGACTAGTGAGGGTAGCAAGGAAAAAGTATTATGAAGACAAGTTTAAAGAATATAGTAAAGATCATAAAAAACTTTAGAACAATAAATAGTGTTTTAGGAAGGGGACAGAAGTCTATAAATATTCCTGATACTTTTTTGAACAATGGTATAGTTCTTTCAGGGACAGCTAAAATATCTGAAGGTTTTAATACGTTTTTCTCTAGTATAGGTCCCCCACTAGCAAAGCTAAAATATCTGAAGGTTTCAATACGTTTTTCTCTAGTATAGGTCCCCAACTAGCAAAGCTAAAATATCTGAAGGTTTTAATTCATTTTTCTCTAGTATAGGTCCCCAACTAGCAAAGCTAAAATATCTAAAGGTTTCAATACGTTTTTCGCTAGTACAAGTCCCCAACTAGCAAAGAATATCCCGAGCTCAACAAAAGAATTCTCTGATTATATCACAGAAAAAAATTATGAAAACTTATAAATGATGCTCTTAACAAATTAAAAAAACAGCTCTGGTCCAGATAACATTTCTACAAACCTATTAAAATCGATAATGACAAGTATCATGGGTCCTATCTGCCATTTATTTAACATGTCGTTTAAACGTTTAAAATTGGTTATATTCCAACCATCCTTAAACCTGCTAAAATCGTTCCAGTCTTCAAAACTGGAGAATCTGATAAATTTACAAATTACAGACCGACTTTACTTCCATCTTTTTCAAAACTTTAAGAAAAAGTGGCGAGAAATCTAATCATGAAATATCTAAATAAGTATAGACTTCTCTATGAGCACCAATATGGGTTTAGGGCTAAACATAAGACTACTCAGCCTTTAATCCATTTTCTAGATAAAATTTACAAAGCCTTAAACAAACGGGAATCTGAGTATAATTGAGGAATTTTCATTGATTTAACTAAAGCTTTTGACACCTGTGGTTCAAATTTGAACTGACGGTGGGCAGTTCAAGTTCATTAAATTCGGTTCCCGTCTGTTTACAATATACCTTGTTTTGATAGATAGAACTAGACTATATCATTATAAAATGTGTACACAAACCCTATCCTTTACTCCTTAGTTCTACACTCATTAGTTCATTATATTTTTCGAGGAACTCCCAATGTGGGCTTTTAGACTAAAAGAGAAATTCGTATAAAATGCATCTTTTTACTTTTAGGATTTAGTCTGCAACTATCCTGCTTCCTAGAAATATGCTAGATTTCCTTTAAAATATCGTTGGGAGGGGGGGGGGGTCGTCTCCCTTCCCCTCTATGTATCAACTTTTTAAAGGTTGGGGGGAGGGGCACTAAAAAAAAAACTGAAATTTTCGACAACTTTTTAAAAAGCCAATGAGAAAAGGATGTAAAAACATGCGTCTAACGTTAATATTTCTCAAAACATTTTTATAAATTTTTACAAACGAACGGGCCTTGATAAAAGCCCATGTACACCGTATAATACTTATGTACATATTAATGACCCAATAACTATATGCAACGCAACTCCATGTCCATACCTTTAATTAATTGCCTTTTTAAGCACCCTCCCGCTCCCCGCCCCTCCAACAGACTTTTCATATAGCTTCAGAACCCCCAGCCTTTTAGAGTTATATTCTGAATATTGTTCAGATAAGCTAGGATAAATTTCATTTAAATGTTTGCCCCCGGGAGTTAGAAAATAACTCAGAACAAGCTTTATGGAATATTTTGCTGGAATTTTAAAAATGATAATGCTTATCTGGAGCAACTTACTATAGTGACGTTTTAAACATTTAAACAATAAAGTTTATCACACATGAAAAAGAATACTGTTGATTTTCTAATATAAATACTAACACATTACTTTTTAGATTACTAGGTTTTTAGCGCGCTTCGCGCCCATCTTCTATTTAAATTGTGAACATGTTCTTTTTGTTTTCATTTTAGAACAAAGAAGAAAAAAAATTTTGCGGATTTTTAAAAAAAAAATTCGCGGATTTCAGGAATTCAAATTTGTTTTACAAAATTAAAAAAAACCTTTAATACACATTTTTTTAAAATTTTATCATTCATAAACCTTCTCTGTGGTCACGTGATGTCCCCCAAAAAATTTGGGCCCGATCGGTTCAGTCGTTTTGACGTTTATTGGAGACAAACAAACAGACAAGCTAAATTTATATATAGATTTAGTTGGTGTCGATTTAGAAAAAGTGGGATCTTTTTTATTCTTTTATTTTTTTAGTAGATTTCGAATTGGTCATGAAACTCAAAAATGATCTAGGGAGTGTTCGCAAAAATAAAAGGAGTTATGGTTGAAGTCGAATATAATTCGATATCGATCGCTCATAATTTTATTTTTATCTGTTGTATCTATAAGTAGAAAATTGTCAAGAACGGCTCGAACCTAAGAGTGCTGGACCTAAACATAATTCAGGGAGATGAATTATTTCGCTCAGATCATGAATAATTCAGGGAGATGAATTATTTCGCTCAGATCATGAATAATTTAATTATATTTAAAACTACTCATTCATACATTACTTACAACCTACAATTCTATTTTATAGTTAATATTTGATAATATATTTTTTAGAATTGATATTTCGCTTACAAATTGCTTATAGGGCTGGCGCTAAATTTTCAAACATTTCTGGAAAATATGAAAATGTCGTCTTCATTATCAAAAATCCTCGAAACAGAAATGAATTTTTTAAGAGTAACTCTCGTATCATAGAAAATAAAAATAAAATACTGTTAAATATCAACTATAGTATATATAGCATATATACGAATAAATCAAATTGAATTCGATAATTGTAAAGTATAAATATCTCAAGTAGTTCTAAATCTAATTGAATTATTTACGACCTGAGTGGAAAAATGCATTTACGTGAATTTGTATGGACGCTATAAGCTCTTGGGTGTTAGATGTGTTAAACCATTTTCTTCTCATACACGCAACAGATAGAAGTAGACTTGGTAGCGATCAAGATAGAATTTAATTCGATCTTAGCTTATACCCCTTCTTTATTTTTTGCGAACACTCCCTTTAAATAGAAAATGTGTTGCATCATTTTACTTTTTTTAATCGAAATGGAACCCATAAAACGATGGAATAAGAAGCTTTTTTACATAACTTTGTCGTTGTTTTAAAACAAAACAAAAAACATACGAATAGCTTGAAAATTAGTTTATAAGTTGAAATGTAAGCTGCACAACTGCTGTGATTAATTTGTATCGGATTGTTTAGTTGTCTTATCAATTACACCGTTTTATTGGTTCAACTCGATACATTTTTTTTAATCTAAAAACTCACCATCTGTATTCCCCGCATATAAGCCTCATCCAACCCCGAGATCTGAGATAGACGCGTCCCCGGCTCCATACCGCCGAACCTCCGATTTTCGGCACAAAAGGATTTTGGCCGTCGCCGAAAGTATCCTTCGTCAAAGCCTTCATCTTCATCAGCTCTGTAATGCCCCGTCCACGTTCGACCCTTGCCATGAGGGGATACAGGACGCCGATCTGTATTCTATATTTAAAGAAATTATTAATTTTATCCTAAAAATAATATACTTCAACCCCCCCCCTGACTCTTCTTAGCCTATATTATGCCTGCAAAAACTAAAGTTATAGTTTTTTACACATTAATTACAGCTCAAAAATACAATAAAGAGCGAAATTAATTATTATATCTTTGCAACCGGATGATGTAAATTCATGATATTTAAAACGTTGACTATTTACTCTAGCAGAGTTAATGATTGAAGTATCTATAAAGGCCATTAAGGGTCTTTTCGGCATCATTCTGCACATAAGTGAGAATTAAATCAGGAACTGAATCTCAACCAGCTATTACCACACACTATTATTTCCTAATCCCTATATCTTTGCAGCCCAATGTCGCAAACGTTAGATATTTCAAACCATTTAAATCTAAATTATCAAAGGTTTACACCGTCAGATTGTAAAAAAATAGTAATTGGAAAAATTAAGTTGGTGGCAAAGACTTGAAGTGAAATAAAATCAGATTCCTTTGACAGTTGGTATAGCTCCAAATAAAAATACTACGGTAAAAAGGTTTACCTGGTACAAATCACTTATTTCCTCATCACTTCCTAATTTAATAGATGCTTGACCATTATCAAAATAAACGTAGCAAAATATTATGAAAAATATGATTATTCACTGTCCCTAAAGCATAAATCCACAAGGAATATAAATCAATTTTTAGCTGGACAAAAAAGGATCTTTCATCCTGTAAATTGATGAAGCCACTCTATCAATTGGAGAATATTTTGAAACCACGTTATTATTCCCTTTAAAATGTATTAAATTAGTTTTCATTCCCTTTAAAATGTAATAAATTAGTTTTAATTCCATTTAAAATGTATTTAACTAGTTTTCAGTCCCTTTAAAATGTATTAAATTAGTTTAACATCTGTTATCCCTGTCCGGCCGATGCAGGAAGGAAGGAAGGATCGTTTCCCGTGTTTTGAGCAAGGAGAAATACCCTGAAAAATTGGAAATATAATTTTGAAAAAGATGGGACCGAGGTTTGGAGTTGGGACTTAGGGGAATATGAGTTTTAGGGTCGGGAAATTGGCACTACTACTTTAATCATTTTCATTTTCAAATCCTTTTTTCACGCGTCTTAAAGTTTCGTTAGTAAAAAAGTTTAAATATAGAAACCCTTTTCTTCATAATTTCAAATTAAATAATTTTTGTGAAGATTAATTTGCTACAGTGAGTAGTTGAGAATCATAAAACTGTAGAATTAGAAGACGCATTTTGGTTTTATATCATGGTTTTTAATAATACACTGAACATAAGAAACTGCAAAACAATAGTGCAGTGTGCACTGAATAAGGAATATTTTTTGGAAACACTAAACTTAACAAACCTTGAAATCGAAAAACTCGTTAAAAATTTACAAATTACAGCCTTACAGGCAAACATAAATTTAAACCTAAAATTGTTTTGTTCCTGTCGATCGGACAATTATCAGAAATTTTGCCTGTATTATTATTTTTTTTAATTATAATGTCCCCACCATGAATTACAGAGACAGGAGAACACAAATAAAAAAAGTAAATCTTAGTTTTGTTTTATTAAATTTTTAATCAGAATGTTTTTGGATTAAATATAAGCTTAATGTATTCAAGAAAATATAATCAACTTTATATGATTTGATTGATTTTTATTTTAAGAAATATAATCTTAGAACAGTAAGGTTTAATTTTTTTTTTGATAAATTATAAAACAAAAATAGTATTTGACGATGAATTTTTTTTAAAAAGAAAAAATGATTGAACTAAGTATGGCTGGTTAAACAAAATCTTCTTTCTGGTTTTTCATCGAACTCATTAAGTGAACGAAAGTTTTGCACAGTAATGTAAACAAATTATTGAAAGCTGATTCATTAAATAAAATAATTTTAGAAAAAAATAACTTTAGGAGTAAATATGGAGAGAAAAGTAACTAACCTGTTGCTGTTCAGAGAAGCATCCAAGAAATCCCTTCTTTTTTCTGAAAAAAAAATTCAATTTTTTTCCATATAAAAAATATTTGTTAGGTTTGTAATGTATATACAGCTATAATGTACTAGAAATACAATGTTAGAAGGAATCCAAACATTTGGTATATTGAACTCATCAAACTAGGAAAGTATTAGCTGGAACCTAATTTAAAGAATATGAGATACGTTACTGAACTACCAACTGCTGGTTTAAACTTAAACCACCGATTCAAAGTTAAAAATTCAGGAAGGATTTGAATCGATGATTCAATTTTGAACCGATGGAAAGTCAGTTCAAAGACCACTCAAATTTAAAAAGTCGGTCCTTGGTTTGCATGAAAGGATGTGCATTAGAAGTTGTTCAACTTGTCATGCTTAGTTTAACTAATTCTAGTTTTCATCAAATCCCTCCTCTGAACCATTTGAATAAAAATCTGATAAAAATTTTATCTTTTCATGAATATTGTTAATTAAAACTAAAACAATTATTGGATTTATTAATGTGAAAATGGTTTTAAAAAATGCTAGTTTTTTCTAGCATTTTCTACAATAAACTTGAATTACGTACAATAATTAGATTAGTAAAAAAATCTAAAAGATTTCTGGATAAAACCGATTAGATTATTGATTTCCAACCTGCTGTCTAGATTTGCTGCTTCTTTCTCGTTAATACAATACTGTTCTCTGTATTTACAACTATGAAAGGGAGGTAATTTCAAGTGGCCCTTTATTTGAAGAGTTATAGCTTCCTAATTCACAACGGTGCCCTTAGAACCTTTGTCTTTAGCAAAAACGATTGAATTATCCTTGTGTTTCTTTAATCGAATTGATTAATGAAACTTTCAATTGCGGTTCGCTGGTACAGTTACATGCAGATTTATGCAGTTAGAGAGACATTAATGTATAATTTCCAAAAATGCATTTTACTGGAAAAATATTTTTTTAGTAAACTATATCTCGGAGTTTGAAATGAAAAATGCTGTGATTTGCTTTGCTTTTTTATATTTTTGGAATTAAGTTCGGTTTTATGTGTGATACATTTTTTACTCATTTTGACGACCTTTTAAACCAACATTAAGTGAAAACTTTTGAGTTCTTAATCTCGAAATCAAAAACTCCGAGAAATTTTAAAATTGTTGGAGCACCCCGGATCCAAATTCAACATTGTATCATCATTTGTTAAATTTCATTCCATGGAAATCAAAATTTGAAAAATCGAGCTAATAAGCTGAATTTGGCTCCGGTGCTTAAAAGAATTGTGTAAGATGAAAACTTCACATTTTCAAGATCGAGTGAACATTAATCTACGGATTAATAACTAAATAATTGAATAAATTGTTGGTTGACTAATTAACTGCTTGATTGCTTAGATAATAAATTTAAAAAATATTGATTCTTTAATTAATTAATTAATTAATTAATCGAATGAATTATGGATGAACTAAATGATTAATTTATTAATTGAATAATTGATTGCTGAATTGATTAATTGGTTGTTCCTAATGTCTTCTCTGCTGTAGACAGGCATTCGTTTATTCTCCTTTCTTCCCATCCCATCCTCTTCTTCTCCTTCCGATAGATCAACCTGAACTCATATATATGTATACTTTCTTCCCATCCCATCCTCTTCTTCTCCTTCCGATAGATCAACCTAAACTCATATATATATACTTTCTTCCCATCCCATCCTCTTCTTCTCCTTCCGATAGATTAACCTAAACTCAAATATATACTTTGCTTGTCTTGGTGTTTGTTAGTTTGTTTGTACTCAATAAACGTAAAATCAGCTGAACCATTTGAGCCGAAGATTTTAAAGGCAACTTACACGACCCCGGAGAAGGTTATGGCTGGTCAAAATTAAACAATTTTGCTCGGAAAACATATCGAGATTCATCATTTTTGAAAATACGCCATTTAAACAAACAAATCCGCGAAAATTTGACTTTTAGCTAAGCTAAAATTGTTAGTAGTAAATTTCTCTTCTTCATTTAATACTTCTCAATTCACCATTATCCTTCATATTTGTTAAATCTTTCTTAAAATTGCATAAAATTTAGGATAAAGATTCAAACGGTTTATTATTATGAAAAAGGAATTAAAAGTTCAATTCTAGTTTGGTAATTTGGCAGTATATCAGAACGTTATATCTGTCAACTGACCCTATCTACCTTCATTAGAATTGAATTTTTCCTTCAATTTAGAAGAATACTAAACACCGTACCTCATGCAGTATATCGTATAATGTTTGTAAACATTGCACTGAACTTCCTTATAGAGAAATAAATCATCGCGCAAGGAAGACAAACCGCCTTTTTCTCAAAAAATCTTTAATGAGAGGATAAGAATCCTTCAAAAACATTTAGATGAGCTAGTTTTAAGTATATATTGGAAACAGTTTCTTTAATACCGTTTTTATTTTAACCTATGTGCATTGGAATGCCTATATAATATATAAATAGGTTTTGAAAAATGATCCTACAGAGCTGAAAACTTTAGAATGGTGGATATCAGGATTAATGCTTAATCCACTCTTTTTCTTAATATCCAGATTAAATATTGCTTGTTTTCCTCATGAATTTAATCTCCAGATAAGTCAACAGATCGGGATTAAGGATATCCCATTCTAAAGTTTTCAGCATACAGCATGTAAATGTATAAACACAAGATTTTAATGTTTTCTTCAAATTATCTAAATGATGTTTCCAGGTTTTCTTATTCATATCTTCAACACTCCGGGCTATATACAGAATACAGGGTGAACAACATCACTCTGGAGTTTTCGTCGAGGAAAGTCAAACTTACTAAAAGTTTAGTTTTGGTTGGTGGAAATACATACATAGATAAAGGATTGCATAATGTACAAGCTTGGGAACCCGGCTGGGACCAGGGGAGTCATAGTAAGTACCGCCGTTTACCCGCCCCTTGTCGTAAATTACGATTTAAGCTATTTTTCCCGTTGAAAGTGAACCAACTTAATCTAGAATCTTAAAATCAAGCTAAGAAAATTCCCGTGGGTTTCCCGAGTTCCCCAATTAAAATTTGAGGCAAATTGGTCCAGGGGTTCCGGAGTTATTATCTAACAAACAGACAGACAAACAGAGATAACAACTTTATATATATAAATATACCTGTATACTCGCGTCTATACAATGAAGATTAGATTTAGCTGCTAAACATTCTTCACAAACAAGATCCTCATTCTAAAATAATACATATTCAAATATTTTAAATTTTGATTTTGATTTAAACAAGCTGGAGCACATGTCGTTGCCCAGGTTTATATAATTACTTATAATTACACCGTTTTTCCGTTTTTGGTGATAACTCATGATTTTAGCTTATAGTGCCCGGCGTTGCCCGCACAGTTTCAACAATGTCCGTAATTTTTTGGTCTTTAATCATCCCCGGGGTTATTCATGTCTTCTCTCTAAGCGTCAGCCAATTTGATCCAGCTGTTTGGCAAGCTATAGCTAACATAAATATATACATACATACATACATCTATATATGAGCTATTAGCTTTACTATATAGATAAACCATACTTCTTTTACCTATCCCTGCTGAGGTACTTGAAAACCAGAAGGGAGGGATAAGTTGACCCCCCCCCCATGTTTGATGTCCAAAAATGACAAATGATACATCAGTGGAAAGCTCTTATGCTTTACTTTTAGAATCTGCAAAAAAATGCAAATTTTCAAAAAAAAAATTTTGCAAAATCCGGTTATAAAAAAGTTAGCAAAAAAAATTCAAAAATGATAAAATATAAATTTTTGAAAAGCCCTTGACCATGCCATTTCAAATATGACAAAATATTTGCAAAATTGTTTAAAACCTGGTAATTAAGAAAAACTAAAATGTGCAAATTTTTTTTTTGTTAAACTTGTGCAATTCGTTTCCTTATGTCCTAGGCTTTCAAAAAAGCTAGAGGTTATCAAAATCTAACAACTGAAAATGTTTCAAAATAAAAATTTAGTTTAATCAGTCGATGATTAATAAATAAATCAAATCAAATAACTTTTTTTTCGCAAACCTACCGTTAATTGTATATATAGTTAACATTGAAGGGTATATAGTTAAAGTTACAGTGGGGCAATATTTTTTACGATTTTATAATTTGTTAATTATTTCCCCTCCTCGAAATTTTCACAAGACATTTTTAATCATCTATATTCAATATAATATTTAAAATTTAGTAATTTAAAACTTTGACTTTTAAATATCGTATTTGACAAAATGCCCTCTAAAGGAATTGAGTCTGTGCAACAAATTCTGATTTTTTAATCCCTTCATTTGTTCAACCCAATATTCTGTCAGATCAAATCATCTAAGTTAGAAATTTTAAAGGTTTTCACCACCAGGTTTCAAAGACTATTATAGTGATTGGAAAATCTTGTGACAACGACTCAAATTCTTTCATCAAAAATTCAAAACAAATCCTAAATTTGCATGCATTTTTCTGTAATTTTTCCTTCTCAACTCCATTTTATAAAAAATAATCGAAAATGAAATTTGAACAGTCGTCTCCTATGTCTGATACTTTGAGTTGAGGGTATTGAAGACATATTATTAATTTCGCATTTTTGGCTAATCTATTTTTTGACAATAAGAATGTGTTTGTTTTGTGTTGTCTTGTTCTTTAGTTTCTAGATTAACATTGAAATACTTAAAATGTCTGTTATTGCTATTTATCCTAGTTTCTTTCTGTTGTGGCGAAAAGAATTTTTACACTTTAAAAGCTGATCAGAGCTTTTAAGTAAAACGAAATCAATAGAAAATATCAAATATATCAGTTTAGATGAATATTTTAAAATCTTTAATTTTATTTCACCAAAACTATACAAATATTTTAGATCTGATAAAAACAAAACAAAACGGAAGTAACAGACTAATCCCCAAAATCCCCAAATGCTTAGTCAATCTATTTGTCAACAAAACCTGTTCACTCTCCTTCTCTGAGTCAAATTGAAGTCACTACAGTTTTTACTTTAATTGCTACAGATATCTTGGCAAACAGAGTAGGCAATTTGATATTTAGTATTGCAATAAAAGCTGACAAATTGTCAAAATAAAAATTCCATCTTTAATTAAAAAAATGACTGACAATTAGAAATGGGCATCGTTTTCAAAACACATTGTTTTCATGTTTTTAATACAAAAAACGAAACTATAAAAGTTTTGAGACACAAACGATCGTTTTAGAAAACAATTTTTTTCTGTAAAGAACGAAAAACTATCGTTTTAACCCCAAAAGTAATCGTTTTAAAAGCGATCTTTCTTAACCTCTCAGTGATAGTTTTGAAAGTAATTATATAGAATAGTGTGTGTACTAAACTACACCTGATAAATACCCCAAAACATGCAATCTAGATACTGCACGAAAACTAGGGTATTATATACTAAAGGAAGGAAAGATAGAATCATGTGCAGTCGTCGTCGTATATATCAATACAATGAAGACGACTTTCGATTTTAATTATTGATTTTTATCATAATTTCAATCAGCATGGATACACGTAAACATGGATACAAAGAGAAGATAGAAAGTTGTCATCATAGTATTGATATAAACGCCGACCACTGTATAAAAACTGGTTTATAAACAACAATATATAAACTGGTTTATAAACAACAATATATAAACTGGATTATAAACAACAATATATAAACTGGTTTGTAAACAATATATAAACTGGTTTATAAACAACAATATATAAACTGGTTTATAAACAACAATATATAAACTGATTTGTAAACAATATATAAACTGGTTTATAAACAACAATATATAAACTGGTTTATAAACAACAATATATAAACTGGTTTATGAACAGTAATATATAAACTGGCTTGTAAACAACAATATATAAACTGGTTTATAAACAACAATATATAAACTGGTTTATAAACAACAATATATAAACTGGTTTATAAACAACAATATATAAACTGGTTTATAAACAACAATATATAAACTGGTTTATAAACAACAATTGGTAAATAAGCCTTACCAGTCTTAATATTCCTTTCCTTGGAACGGATTTAAAATCATTGTTTACGATTTACGAAATTTTGTATATTTAAATCAAACCAATTTCTATACGCCCCTTATACGTCACAGTAAAATCTACGCACTTCTAGTCAAGCAGAATTCAAACTTTGATATATCAAAGGTCAACGCCATCAAGTTGCAAACATATAAGGATTAGAAAATAAGAGTATAAAAAGAGTTCATTTAATTCCCCTATGTAGGTGTCCAGAGCAATTCAATGCAAGAACGAGAAAACAAACTTCACAAATACACCAAAGCTATTTTGAATATGATAAAAATTATTGCTGTAAAGAAATGTACATTGTCAATGTAACTTCAAGTAACTCTCCATGCCAAATTAACAATGCTTTAACTTTCAAACCTTAACCGAGGTAATTATTGTCGTCTTCCAAGATTAAAAACATTTATGTATTATTCCTTGTTTCTTTGAATAATTCTCTAAGTTATTTTTAGAGAAACCGCAAATAAAAATTATCAATTTTTAGACAGAAAACTTTGACGTCAAATTACCCTAGGTATCAATATTGATAGTAAATAGACGACGTTCAAAATACTGCGTAAAAATTTCTACATGTCGTCTTTCTAGTCCAGATGATTCTGTAGACCACTGTAGAAGAAATGAATAAAAACTCAACCTGTTCTTGTTTATCCGGCTGTCCAGGTCCCCCACGAGGGCGCACACCTGAAAAAATATGTATTTTTTAAAAACAAAAATGGTTATCAATATTTATAGAGTTGTAATATCTGTTTGGGTGTTTGTTTGTTTGTCCGATCATAACTCAGGTACACCTTGGCCTATGTGCCTCAAATTTTGATTAGGTAACTCGGAAGAACCACGGGAATGTTCTTATCTTGGTTTTTACATTCTAAGTTGAGTGATACATACCCTGGGCAACGCTGGGTTCCCAAGCAGCTAGTAGGTTATAATTCATCTGTAAAAAATAACGCCACTCCCCTCCCACTCCGAATACATGTTAACAAAACGTTCCATTCTTTTTTATCTAATAACCTTTTCTTTTCCTTTTATCTAAGTTGTCTACTTTGTCACTTTTTACATATTGTTATTTTCTTCATGTAAGTAAACGATAGAAGAGCAGAAAACGCACGTTAATCAGATAAAAACGTAAATCACGTTTGATAAAAGCAATTGTAATTATTTGTATTATATTATCTATATATATATTACCTGATAAGTTTGTAAACATTTTTACACTTTTTTCTCCCTGTTTTTAATTAATAGTTTTCTAGATTACCATAAAACATTTTAAGTTGAGAGTTAATTTTTGTAAAGAATAGAAGAGTGAAGTAGAATGATTTTAGAGTTATTTTGTAAATAGTTATTTAAAGTATAGTTTTTTGGCATTTTCCTTCACGTTTCATATCAATTTGGACATTGTTAACAAGCGTTAATTAATTCAAGGCCAAATTCGCAGATTAGTTCGTCACATTTTGTAGATTAGTTTGTCACATTTCGTAAATTTTCGGAGTCACATTTCGTAGATTTTCTTGATATTTGTGGACTGGAGGATTTGTGAGGGGGGACACACTGCACAGCTGATACATGGGCACTCACAGACACACACCACACTACAAACACACACACACACTATAGGCTTTCTTTTTCAGGGCAAGTGAATAGAGATTGTGATGCTGGAATAAGATATATAAAGGTATATTTGTTGATATACAATTACAGATATAATAAATATTATTACCATTGACATAATAGGGAGGCAATCAAATCATCTCAAGATTTTGATAAGGAATATCGTCACACAAAAAATTCGACTAATAGGAAATATTAAACTATTTTAGTAAATTTGTTTATGCCTACTTTAACTTCTTTCACATTAAAACTGTTATTAAGTTATTCAATAAATTATAAATATTTGTATTTAATTTCTCAAAAATCAAATGCTTTTTACAAGTCTAATCTATGTTTATTTGTTTATAGGTCATTATGATGATACCACCCCGTGTTTAAATCAATAACTGTTAGCATTCGCAAAATTTTCACCATACAAAAAGTCACCCTTTTCCAACATTTTTCCATATGAAGATAACCCCCCAAGATTCAGAATGCATTCATAGTGTAGTAAATATTCATTAAAATTACGTTGACAACAAGACCTTTAATTTATGAGATAATTTAAGCAATCTGTCCAGGCGATATAATAATAATATCGGATATATAGAAAAATATTCAATATCGGGTGTCAACAAAAAACTGCGTTTTTAAAATTTTAACAATTTTATAGATTTTAACACCAAACTGCATTATGAGTATATGAAGGATATTAAGCAAAAATTATTTTCATTTAAAAATGATTATTTGGTAATTTAAAAATTTGTGGATACCCTGGTGTGGAGCAGAAAATTGGGGTTGAGCCCTGAACCTGTCCCTATGCCCGTAATTGACTCATCAAACATTGACCGTAAACAGATCGACCCATCGAACATTGTGGAATGGCTAACACTTCTTATTGGCTGGCTATATTGGTTCTCTCTTTTGATTGGTTAAAGAAACAATCTGTTTATACAGTTAGAACACAATGTTATTTTTGGGGGACAAATTAAAATATAATTCATGCCTTTTTCATGCGTACTAAAAGCTTAGTTTAACTTAGCCCACATTAGCCAAGCTTAAATACTTTAGATTTTGAATTTTATAAACGTTTTCAGAGATTCACTCCCCCCTCCCACACACTTTGATCCATACCGCTCTGAAAAACAGGGGCGTAGTGGGGGCGGTACCTCTGTACACCCCCTAGACATGCACCCCCTAGCCCCACCCTGGAGCCAGAGGCAGGCTCTAAAGGCTCTAATATATTAAACTAACATATATATTCAGATTTTTTTCTTTTTTTATCAATTGGCATTTGACACTGTCACAATTTTTCCATTTTTATGATAATTTCTCAAATTCTTTCTTGTACCTGTATTTTTTTACAATATTTTTTCGTAGGGTTTCATTTGAAATCCATTTCATTCTCTCAGTGGCCAGGATTCACATGCACTCCGACATCCTGGACCAGGGTTCCAATGAGGAAATATTAAAATCATTTGTTGCACACTAACCAAGAGTTCTTAAATTTGTAGGAGGTATTATTAAAGCTTTTAATTATTTTTTTTATATAATTTGAATGGTATATTATTTTTAACCCGTTTTTTAATGGATGAAAATAGCTGCATGCTTCCATAACTTTTTATTGAAATTTATTTTATTTTTATTATTTTAACCCATGGATTGAACAATCTTCATCATCAGTATGTATAATGGTATAATGTAGATGCAATATCACTGAACGGACCTATTTATTATCAAAGAAAAATTTGTATAGGGAAATTCGAGAACAATGTTTTGGGACATCTCACAAAGCGCCAAAAAATACTGATTTAATAAATTTAGTTAAAAAACTTTAAATAATACTGTCTCGAGTGTAATCTAGTCATAATATGATTGATATTGATTTGATTTATGATATTTGATATACTCAAAAAAAAAAAAAAATTTCAAAGTTTTTTGCTCCTTCACTACTAGATTTTATTATGGTATAATTGGTAATTATGATCAGATGACTAATAGTCAGGTAGATTAATATAGATTTTAAAATTTAAATTTTTTTCTTAATACGGTTTTCTTTTGTGGGTGCACATCAACCGTGAGGGGGGTGCACAAAAAAAGTTCGACGCGCTTACGCGCGCCAAATATTAACCATCCTAGACTTCCACTACGCCCCTGCTGAAAAGTTGCTTATAATTTAACGACTTTAAAATGTTGCAAAGCCTTTGCTTAACCTAGCTAACTCAGTTTTAATATGTTGTATCGCTAGAATTGTAAANAAGCCTTTGCTTAACCTAGCTAACTCAGTTTTAATATGTTGTATCGCTAGACTTGTAAATTTAAGAGCTTTTTATCTGAAGAAGTAATTGGCATAATTGATTTGACAGAAAATTTGTTTTTTGAATTTTTCAGGTTATAGCGGGTGGAATCCAAATCCAAATCGATAGTAATTAAAAATTCGACCTCCCCTAATGTAGAAGTACGTTTGTACAAAAACGTTTAGAGGCCTGGGGGTGGGGGTATGTTCTTATCAAAATAAATATATAAAGAAAACCCAGAACAAATTGTAAACAACAAGTACAAATAAACAAATTGTTGTTATTATCTCTTTTAGAAAAAGAATATTGTTTTTTTGCTGTTCTTTAAATAGTTTTTACTTTATTCAGAGATTTGATAGAGAGAGGCAATTATCTTAAATTGGTTAGATCAATTTATTGATTTTTATAAAAATTTTATGATACGTTTTTCCCTAAACTATAAATATTAAGAACGTTATTTGGGCTGAAGACTTCATTTCATTTGACAGAGTTAAGTTCAAGTTACAAACCTAAACTGAAATGAGATATCCGTATGTTTCTTCTAAAAATTGATTAACTTTAATGGGTTTTTTATTTTTAAGGAAATTGACATTCTTTTTCTTTACATGATAGATTTAAGGTTTAAAATTATAATTATAATTATAAGTAAATATTCTACAACTTTGTATAACGATTTGTTGAAATGAAATTGAAATGATAGAGAGGAGGGGGTTGGGGTTTTTTTTCGCCTTCTCGTGCTTACAAAAGTCTGTGTTGTACACTATATATTATATCTAAAGTAGTTTCTGTTTACAAGATTTTGTCAACTTTGTTTATATTTTCCTCAGAAAAAAGAAAGAAAGAACAGGGTTACCCAGAAATCTTAATTCAACCTTCAGATCGTAAACACTGGTGCAATTTGACAAATACCAAAATTTTTCTTTGATGCTTCTGTTCTAATAGAATTTCTAACTATTTTCGTAAGGGGTGGAAGAGGAATGTGTTCAAGGGCTGGTAGGGGAATGTGTTTAAGGGGAGCAAGGGGAATGTTTTCCAAAGAATCCTGATTAAAATTAATAGCTGATATAATTTAGAGAAACGTTCTGATATCTCTGTCAATTGAAGGTGTACAAAGCAAGACCACAGTTTGAAAATGTTGAATGTTTTGTTAAATTCACAACGTGATGCCGCGTAGGTAAAAGACGGGTTGAAAGTAGCATCAATGTATATCAGGAAACTCTTTGAAGGGAATTAAGTCTTTTCCATAAATTCAAATTTTCTAATCCCTTCATCTTTGCAACATAATGTTGGAAAGCTTTGATATTTCAAACTAAGATTTTTTGATCTTACGGAATTGATAGTTTGAAACATCAAAGGTCAACGACATTGGGTTGCAAAGATATATTGATGTGAAATTCAGAGTTTGTTGCAAAGACTCAATTTCTTTACATGAATGAATAAAACATAGTGGAAAAATCTCCTCTCCAATCTCTGTTTCAAAATGAATGCTTTTCAAAAACTAATCAAATTATAATTATTTTTTTACTTTTTTGTACATATATTATTTCTTCATAATTTGTTTCTTCATAAATTGACATTTTTGCATTTCTTTTAATTTTATGAATAATAAACTAAATTGATCGAATCTAATTAACATCTATAAATATTCTTTTTTTTCCTAACGACTTTTTTCATTGATAATTTATGATGCAGGTTGTTATTGTTTAAATCGTCGATCCAATGTTTAAATCCTTTTATCCAAACAGCCCCCCCCCCCTGGGTATAAGGACGTTAGATGATTAAAAAGTCCATATGTTTGAAACACGGGTGACAAAGTTCTTGTCAGAAGATTTAATTTTTCAATACCTATTATAGATATTTGATTTAAAGGCTGACTTAATTACTTTACATATTATAAAAGCCCTTGAGTAAATTAATAACTTTTACCATATTTGATCGAATTTTTTCGAATCTTTAAACTTTAATTCCAACTAATTATGCAATAAATTAAGTTTTCGTCAAAGTTTACAATGGTTTCGTCTTCCTTTGATTGACAACTGTGGTTCTTAAAAACATTAAAAAAAATTTTGTGAATCTTTTAATTAAAAATGTATTTTTAGTTCTTGAGTTCCTCACAAGTAATTAGGTGGCATTGTCTTATTTAGTTCTAGTACAGGAATACCCAGAAATAATGAGACTGGGAAGACGACCTGAAACTTTGCTTTAAACTTTATTCTGTTTATGGTTTATTTACTGACTTTACAAGGAAAGAACCAAGTTCACAGTTGTTGGGAATCATACATATTGAGATACAGAAAGTAATAAGTTATAATTAAAGAAATTAAGACATTACCACAA